CTCAAAGAATTTCCTCAAATATTGACTTAGGAGCTAAAGTTTGTACGTAAATACTTACTTCCTTGGATGTAACATTTCGAACCAGCTTTTTTCTTGATCTGGTATCCAGCCATCAATCTGAACCTATTAGTTCCTTCCTCGTTGATACCGTTACAATCAGAAGTTCCTGCACATTTGTTCATAGCATCAGAAACTGTCCTGTAAGTGACACTGTCGAAGTACTGAGAGTCTATCACATACCCAGTCCTAAAGTCCCAGGTGTACCCTCTGTTAACCACCAATCTGCCTCCCTTTCTAAAGGATGTGAACCCAACAGCGACTGATGTCGTGGTGCCCTTGCACATTTGGTAGTGCACCCCGTCATGGTTAACTCCAGTACATCCCTTAGTCATGACGCAAGTTTCTAGAGTCTCTTCTAGGGTTTTGTAATGTTTTCCGAAAGGCTTGTCTAACTTTCGAGGACTGACAGCATTCCACACGATGTCTGAGGAAGGTCACGTTAAAATCTTAATCTGACTAAAATTATAAAATATTACTACATTATAAAATGGTATCCGGACATCAACACATTTTGTTCAGCTATCTTCCCAAGCTGAGTAAGTTATAAAAGTATAAAAAGTAACATACTGGCTTGTGTGACAGTGTATCTGAGAGTAGTGTATCCGCCCCTGACGAATGTAGCGGTTTTCTTGTTGGGTTTGATGTTGGAGCCAGAGTTAATGTACCATTTCCCATCCTCGTAACGAGTGTAACCAGTGCAGTCTGCATGCTTGGAGCACGCCTGGGCTGCTTCTTTTGGTTTGTTGTATGGGTGTTTCTTGTCGGGGAGTCCCAGAGCGTAACCCTTTCTGTCGGTCCAGAAGAAACTGTACTCGCTCTGCATCTTACCTGACATTTGTTAGGTTAATTAACGGCTGCTTTGAAGGGAAAATGGTGTTATTCGATATTCAGAGCATGGTTAGAGGGACTGTAGCAAGAAGTTAGAAAGGTGTTCAGATGTAAAAACTACATACTTCCTTTGAGCCATGTCTTGTGGTTGTTGACGGTGATGTAGGTAGTGGTGGAGTGAAGTCTGTATCTGTTAGCATTCTCTTTAGTGACACCCTTACATGAAGTCTTGTGCAGACACGCTTTCAGGGCATTCCTCTTGCTGCGATTAAAACACATTATCAAAATGAGAGGAAAGTAAATAAATCAAGAGATACAATGTTACGAGAATGATAGGAATGGTCTTAGTAATTGTAAACAAGTGATAGGGTTAATAACACAGATATGGTAGAGAAAAAGAACACTTACTTGGTATAAACAGAGCCGTCCAAATATCTTGTAAGTTTCCTGTTCTTCAAGACGGTCCACTGAGAACCTCCGAAGGAAGAAGCACCACCAGATTTAATGTAGACAGTAGCTGTCTTGCTGAAGTGAGGACTTCCACCGGTGTTCAGCACGTAACCCTTTCCATCATACGTTACTCCAGCACACTTAGCATTTGCACCACAAGCTGCTAGAGCAGTGTCCTTGTTGTGGTATACCTTGCCATCAACTCGCCCCTCCAAAGTGTAGGGGTTCATGTAGGTCCAAGTGTAACCTCCGCTGCTCAAAGTCATGGTGGTGAATGTCATGACCTCTCCTCCTCTCAGCCACACTCGGAACCCGTCCCTCTCGGTGAGCTTGGTGTCCCTGTAGAGGTAGTAGTCTTTAGGTCCTTCCTGCACCACTCCTTGGCAGGTGGCGGTGTGGGAACACACTGACAGCGCTGAGTTCAGGTCTCCGTATTTCTTGTTGTGGACTCGCGTAGTCAGAGTGTAGCCTGGCTTCATCGACCATGTGATCTCTGAAAACAATCCATATTGAGTTAAATTTAGTGAAATATATGTTTACTTTTGTAGGAGGTTCCACAACTTAGATTGCAACTCACCTGATATAATAACATTACTCACGTGAAGAAGTGTAGACCTCATCTCCCTGCAAGAAGACCTTCTTGCCAGGTGCCTTGACCAGGGTAGTTCCCTGTCCCAGCTGGTACTTGTTCTTGCCGACCATGTTGACTCCAGTACAAGTTGTGCTGCCCTTGCACACGTTCATGGCGCTGCTGTCACTTCCCCATTGTCTGCCAGTGTACCTGGATGAGATCTGGACGCCTGGGATGATGGACCACAGGTAACCTCCGTGTTCTACGTAGCCTCCTACTAACAGGTAGGCGATGTGTCCGATCTTGTGAGTCATCTTGTCCTGAGGAGGTTTTAGCTTTGATAATAATGCTTTTTAGCAGAATAATTTTAAACGCTAAAACTGAGATTCGTTTCTAGATTTGTTAAAATGTTCGCAATAGATGGTTTACCGATTTATTAAGGACAAAGACATTCTTTCCAGTGCGAGTAAAGCCAACACAACCCTTCCTGGTCATGCAGCCCTCTGCAGCTTCACGTGCTGTGGTGTAAGTCTTGCCGCCCATAGGTCCTGCCAGTGTGTAAGGGGCAGCCACCTTCCACGACTTGTCTGTAAAGTATTCAAATTTAGTTATCAGATTTGCGAATCTTGATAAATAACGGGTCGGTTATCAGGTTTGTACATTTTGATTTGTATCATCTAGTTGGTTATCATATTGATTTATTCTTAACATAGTTTGATCGAGGAAGTTGTTGCAGTAGAACTTGCTATTACCAGAATTTGAACTGAATGGTTTATTGAGAGGTTTACTCACTAGCAAAGATCTGGAAGCTGGTAATGGTGATCCAGTCTCCGATGAGCCAGGATTTGGATCCCTTAGAGGTGGTGATACCACTGCCAGACATGACGTAATACTTTCCACCGATGTAGGAGATACCAGAGCACTGGTCAGGTTTTAGAGAACAAGCCGTCAGAGCTGACTTCTTGTCGGTGTAAGCTTTAGCGTCCAGTTTGTGGTCGAGCTTATATCCATCCTTCTCTGTCCAGTAGAAGTCATAGATCTGTTCCACCAGAGACTCTTGTATCCAAGATTTCGCTCTTGCTCTGGGTACTGCTACTTTCGTAGTCCTGAGTCTGAAGTTACCAGCACTGTATTTGGTGACTCCCTTACATCTGTCGTGTGCCGCACATGCTCTTAGGGCCTGAGGTAGAGTGTTGAAGAAGTCGTGGAAGTTTCCTCGCAGCTCAAAGTTCTTCTTCACTGTCCAGATTGCTCCTGATTTGTTGAGGGAAGTTCCTCTCTTTAAGAAGACGATGTGAGTCTGATGAGGATAAGAACTAGATCCGGTACACATGAAGAACACGCCCACCTTCTCTCGAATCACTCCGTTACATCTGTTGTTTTTACCGCAAGCCACCAAAGCTTCATTCCTGGTCTTATAAGCTGGGTTGAACTTTCCGTCCAGTGTAGCTGGTTTCTGAAGTGTCCAACTGTACCCATCAATGGAGAGGGAGACCTCGGTCACCTCGACAACTTCACTGCCTAGGATATAGAGATCTGTTCCCTTGCTGGGGGTGACGGTACTGTCAGTAGCGAGATAGTACTCCTTGTCACCCTTCATCTCAACCCCCCTACACCAGGTGGCAGCAGCACAAGCAGACAGAGCGCCGCTCTTATCAGTGTACTTCCTGCTGTTCACAGAGTTGTACTTGTAGTCGTCCACCTGGGTCCAGACCTTCTTGTTAGAGGTGAACACGCTGCTTCCCTTGATGAAGACAACTCGTCCTTTTTGGTTGTGAGGCACTGAGTCCATGTAGAGTTTGAAGTCGTCATGGTTCTCCATGGTAACGCCAGCACACTTTTTGTGTGAGTTGCAAGCAGCGATCGCCTCAGCGTCACTCGTGTACTTCTTGGCATCCAAACGCTTGCGGAGGGAGGTGTCCTTTGCCATAGCGTAGAGGATACTGTTCTGCTCGACACCTCTTCCTACCATAATGTAAGCTATCTTGTCAGTTCCCTGAAAGAAGGCAAAGACTTGAAGGAGATTTATATCATTGCATACAATTTATCATATATATGTATATTATCATTATACAATTTATCATGTTGGTAACCTTAACTATTTTCTACATTTATACTCCTATTATAATTTTGATCCTTCACTATATATTGTGAACTCTCAAAGTTCAATCCATCACTCACCACTTTGTGAAGCTTCCTGTTTTTGTTCAGTTTGTAACTGTCCTTATGTTCACGAGTGAAGCCAACACAATGACGGTCATCCGAACACTTCTGCCAAGCCATCTCCAAGCTGTTGATGTTAGCTCCGTACGGTTGACTCAGAGCGTAAGGTTGGTGAACCTCGAACATGTACTCTGAGGTGGTTTGCATTGTTTATATTTGAGGAAATTCGTGGCTTTAGTTCTGTAGTGAAAGAAATAAAAATTCAACGTAAAATTGTCCAATACTACATGAAAAATGACTTCTTATGAATGTGGCTGATCATGCTTAACTAACGTCCAAGTTTGAGAGCGTAGGAGCTGGTGAAGCCAGATCCCTTAACGTAAGCTGTCTTTCCGGAAGCTCCGACAGGGGAGGTTCCGCTGACTAGGATATATCTGGTAGTTGTAACGGTTACAACTCCGTGACAGTGCTTGTTGTTGACACAAGCCAACATGGCACTGTCCAGTGTACTGTGAGCACCGGATCCCAGTGGTTTCCTCAGAGTACTGTCGGAGTATTGGGTCCAGTAGTGATCGTGCTTCGTCTTTATCTGGCCTGTAAGTGTAGGGTTTAGCTGTGGATTGGGGATAGTTTCGAGATGATTATCTTATGGATCCAATTAATACATAAATAATGTTTCATTGCGAGTTATATCACTTACTTGTCCTCTGGATCATCTTAGCCTTCTTGTTGATGACCTTGTTGTCTCCACCAGTAATCCTGTAGAACCCGTCAATGAAGACAACACCCTTGCAGTTGTTGTTAGAGTTGCACTTGTCCAGTGCATCTTCTTGGTCCTTGTACTTGGTGTTATCTATGATCTCCCAGTACCAGCCGTAATACTCAGTCCAGGTGAAGCCGTGATACACAGTGAACTCTCCTTTCTTTTGGTAACTGTGAGTGTTGGCCCGAGGGATCATGTCGTGACCGGATCCTAGGAAGAACCTTGTTGGTCCCTCTTGGTGGAATCCTGTACATTTTTCAAATCCAGAGCAAGCCTGGAAGGCTTGTGCTTCAGAGATGTAAGGACGGTTAGAGTATCTGTGTTTGTAACGCCAGTTGTCTAATCTCTCCCATGAGAAATCCCTGAAAAGTTTAGATTATTTATTGATCAAAAACATCCATTTAATAGTATTAACCGGGGTATGATATCACTTCAATGCTTAACCAACAGTTTATAAAACTGTACATACCCATAAGCCACTGTGACTTCCTTCTCCACAATCACTGCTCCATTCTTCGTGTAGAGCTTAGTTCCTTCTGCACCGGTTGTAACTCCGTATCCATTGTTTGTGTAGAACTTGCCGTCAATCTCCGATACTCCGCCACAAGTTGTACTCGCAAGACACTTGATCTTGCAACGTTTAGGGACGTGTATGCAATGTTGTCGTATTGCTGTCCTACAACGTATAACACAGATATCCAGTAATATCCTCCGTAACTAGTTGATTCCCCGATCTTGGGGTAAGCTATTTCGTGGTTGCCAGTGCGACCCAATTTGGATTCCTTACTAGCCAGGAAGTACTGTCCGGTGGGGTTATTGTGGTATCGGTATACGACTCCATTGCAATAGCTGCGGCCTGCACAGGCGCTCATAGCTTCCTCCTTGTCAGCGAACGCGGTGGCTGGTCCATGATAGTTAAGCGGACTTACGAAGGTTTGTTGATTTCCTTTTTGGACACCAACGACCACCATTCCTCCGACACTGATCTGCGTGAACCTCCTAGTCGACACTGTCCACTTGACTCCTGTGGGGTTGTAGGCGGACACACCGCTTCTATAGAAGATGCGCCCATCTCCGTTATGAGCACCAACCACAAAGTTGCGTCCAGATGAAATCGACATCATAGTTCCGTCGACACGTTTCCACTGATAATATGCAAAATTTAGTCGGAGATATTTTGGTGCCTATTTACTGTAAGAAAATAGTCATATATGATGTCCCAACGGCGGAATCTAATCCTCACCCTAAATCTCAAAGACATAAAAATGTAAAGGTGACCCACTGTTCTTGCTTACCTTGGATCCCTTAGAGTTGAGGTCGTTGTAGGTTCCTACTCTGTAGTAGACTAGACGTTTTTTGTTGATACACCACACTCCCGAGTAACCCACTGTGATCTGGTAAGCTCCTTGAGGAACATCATCTACCCTCTCCCAGGTACTACCGAGCCATCTGAACACTTGGCTTTGTCTATTTACTCCCCAAACATGGCCCTCTTCGCTCACATCAACCTGCGCGTTAACAAATAAAAATCTGGGCTGCAGAATTCAAACTGTGCTAAGATTGACATGGTCATAAATATTATATCCACCAGATCTTATCAACGAGAGAAATTGCTGTAGTTGTCTTCCGCGAGACGCATACCTATAATTAATACTTTTAACTTAAGAATTTGACTCACGTTCACAAGTTTGCCCGGAACGTGGGTCCACTTGTTGTTTCCGCGGTATCTGAAGATGTCATCATTCTTATTGACTCCCCAGACAGATTTACCACTGCTAATGTGAGTCAGTGAGCCACTGACCACCTTCCAGCCGTTGTTCCAGTTGTAAATCTTACCAGCCTTATTGACAGCCCAAGTTCCTCTGGAACCCGTGTCAATCTGAACCATCTTATCGGTGTTGAGGTTCTTCCATTGACCAGTAATTTTCATCTGTGCACCAAGAATATCTGAAATGTTAATATGTTAATGTAGATCGGCTCAATAACTATAGTGATGAATAATTAGGATATATTATGTGACACTCATCGTTGAAACATTTTACTGGTGAAATTAGGAGAGAGATAAACATAAAGTAAAAGTGGTACAAGTTAAACCCTTACCAGTTAGGATGTGGTCGAAGTGCTCTTCATAAATGTAACCTCCGATCTCCTTGCCCTGGGTACCCTTCAGGTATGCTATTTTGCCTCCAGATGGTTTCTTAGTAGGACTGAGGAGTTTTTAGTTGATCAGAAATGTTGTTTTGCAAAGATTTAACTCAAAGATATGAATCTAAAGAAAGAGCTGTGATAGTATGACGTATAAACAAGTACGCACCATGGATGGTGAACAACCTTGCTACTGTATTAATACTGGGCAGTGGTGTAAGTACATAGAAACACTTACTTTCCACTGAGGAAGTATTTGGTGATGGAGTATTGAGTGAAACCAACACATTTGGGGTTCTGAATACAAGCATCAAATGCAGTATCTCTGGAGCTGTACACCGTGTTGTCAAGTCTTCCGGGCAACTCGTACGGACTGTACGCCTTCCAGCCGTAACCTCCGTAGAACAAGCTGTACTCCGTGGGCATCAGACCTTCTCGTTTGTAAAGAGTGTAACTAGGCTGTCTTATGAGCTGCTTGCCACCGTTGAGGCGGTATTTGTTGGTTCCTATCTTAGTGACCCCAGTGCAGCTGCTATCTCCTGAGCAGACCCTGAAGGCCTGGTAGTAGTCAGGGTAGATTGTAGTGCTGAGCCATCCGTAGGTAAACCCTGCCAGTGGTTGGTAGTAGTAACCGTCGTAGGTTGTCAGTTTGTAGCTCTTCTGCCACACTTCTCCTTTGTTGTTCGGTTTTGTGTCTATTCCTGATCTCAGGGACCAGAAGAACCCGTCAAAGCTCACCGCCTTGCAGCTTTCGTGTTTCACGCAATCTGGAAAATTTTGTTTTCGAAATACAGTCACATCTATGAATTCCGATTCGGGGAGAATTGATATTATTAGAGAAAGCGCACGAAATTCCGACTGCCTTTATTAAAGTCTCCTCTGGTTGGCATTGACAAGTTTATTTTAAACTAACCAGCAAGAGCGGTATCCCTGGTAGGGAAGGTATCGGAGTTGACTGCTGGAGAGGTGCTGACTGTTTTGGTGAAGGTTGACCAAGTGTAACCCACACTAATCTTGCTCTTTCCTCTCTTCATCCAGAGTCTCATGCCAGGATGGGTCTTTGTGTGGATTGAGCGAGCCAGTATGTACTCCTTTTTATCTGTAAAGAACATTGGTTAACCCGTGTGTTTTAGGTCTAAAGGTTTTATTATTCGTACAATACAAAGCTCAAAACAGTGAGTCACTGTTCTTTACACAATTATCAAGCTCTCGTTAAATTAAGTTTACTCACTTATTTGGGAGACCCCCTTACAAGCCGCGGTACGAGTACAAGTCAAGATGGCCTTCTCCCTGTTGTCATAGACAGTGTTTGTTAATGGGCTTCCTGTCAGTCTGGCGTTGGTCTTGTACTGCCATTCGAATCCTCCTATTTGCTCGTAATACATCGTGTCGGCTGAAATTTTTGTTGGTTGTCAGGAAAATATTGTACCTGATTAGTCGAACATTATGCACATGTAACTTGTTCGCAAAGTTATTTTCTTAAACAAGCAATGAACACTTGTCCCACATCTACTGATTTCAAAGTATTTAGTTAAGATAAAAAGCTGCTCACCGAAAGACATTCCAGTAGATCTTCGAACAGGTTTGCCTGAACCGTAAACTTGTACCTCTGCAACTTCCAAATATTCTCGGTTATTCACCAATTTTATAACTCTAGCCTTGCTTCCCTGGCAGTTAACTGGATAGGTATCTTGGTTTTTAACGAAGTTGACGTGTCCACAGAGTTTCTTTCCTGCGTACACCTTCATACCCTGAGACCTACCACTGCAACATCTGTCCTGCCGGATGTTGACGAGAACAAGGTAGATGCTCTGGATCTGACTGATGTCCACTGTGAGCTCCTGAGGTTTGGATGGTGTGCCTCGTACACGAGACACGAATATGCGACGTCTTCCCCAGTATCCCATCACATCCCCGTCCACTACCCATTTAGACTTGCTACCAGGATAGTTTGAGGTTCCCTTGGTGTTCTGACCTAGAGACAGCAGAGAAATGTTCTTCATAGGCTTCATCCCTCCGAACACTTGGACCTCTGCCAGCTGCAGGTGTTTCGTTGCCGGGTGTTTTACCCATACGTAGCGTGCTTTAGCACCGTTACAACCCGTTGGGTACAGGGCGCGTTTGTGCACGTATTTAATGGTTCCACACTTGGTCTTATCAGCCCACACCTGGGAAGGTTACACTATTGTTAGATCCAGTAGTTACAACATCAGCTATTACCCCTTAAACTATGTACTGTGAGATTGTGCACTCAACCGTTACAAAGTCTTTACAGAATTATAATATAATGTCACGAACCTCAGCCTTGTCAATCCACTTAGCGCAGCATTCGTCCGTCCTACTGTACACAACCACCAAGTTTATGTAGTGCTCCGTTCCCAGATCAACCTTCCACCACTTGTTCTTAGCGTTGGGTTTGCCATCCGAGCTGGTTGTTCTAAAGATTGTTAATCTTAGATTACTGTACATCGTGAAACTTTGAAAAGTATTTCATAAAAAATAAAATAAGATTATATATCCCGGGTTAGAGTAATGTCTTACCCGGCGCTCCACATTCCATTGGGGTTGCCGTCCACGGCCTTGGCGGGAGTTCTGCCCCATCCAGTGCTGGATTGCTGAGTAGGCATTCGTTGAGAGAGCAAAATAAACTGTCCTCCTCCCGAACTTTGTACCGAGAGACCACCTGAAGGTGAGGGTGGTTTAAACTCTTTAATATTCCCAGAGCTGACCACGTTCTACATTTCTAGAATTAAACCTAGACGCAATAGTATGTGTACACAATACACATTACGCATGTCGAAAATCCGGGATGGTACGTTAGAAAACTTACCCTTTCCGAACACTTCGACCTCTGCAAGCTGCAGGTAATCATGATCGTTGACGATGAACACCTTCTGTCCGGTATGACCGTCACAGTTAACAGGGAACACTTGGAATCCAGGCTGGAAGTTGATAGTGCCACAGAGGTGTTTTCCTCTCTTGGTTTTGGGATCGTAGTCCAAGTACACCTTGGCTCCATTGATTCGTTTCTCGCAGCATCTGTTTAGTGTGATTCATGTTAGAAGTGTCTATTATGAAAGACAATATTCAAATAAAAAGAACATATTAACGGCACTTATGATTACACACTATCGCTATCTAGATATGAACTATAGTGTAGACTAACTTGTTCCGATAGTGTGTAATCACTTATGATAACACACTATCACTATCTAGATATGAACTATAGTGTAGAAGTGTAGACTAACTTGTCCCATCTATTATGGACCAGGATCATGTAGACAGGGTATTTGTCTCCGAGATCAACGGACCACCAATTGTTCTTGTTGTGTTGGGAGTGGTATGATGTGCTGCAAAAGATGTCAAGTAATATAAATTAATTCAAAAGAGGTTTCAAGTAGTGCTTAATTGGAGAGTTTTTATGTACGTACAGACCAACATATCTTCGATTCTAATTTTTAAACCCAAAATCACAAATTGGCAAAAGAAAAGAAACTTACCCAGTGCTCCACCAGCCGTTAGTGTTACCATCGACTGCTCGATCTGACTGTCCACCCCATCCCACAGAACTTCGTGCAGTTGGCATCCTGTAAGACAGGAGACCCATGCCGATCACTGGTTTAGGACCTCCCCAAACTTCCACCTCAGCTATGGCTAGGAAGTTGTTGGGTTGTACAATCTTCACGAACTTTGCTGATGCCCCTTGACAGGGTACCACGTAGGTGTATTGTGCGTGTTTGTAGTAAATTGTTCCGCAGTAGGTGGTTCCAGCGTAGATCTAAGTGCAAGACGACTGTTAAGGAGATTTAACTTTATTCTTATTAATACAATTAGAATAGACTATTCGAATATTGTTTAAATTAAAAAAGATAAAATTATCCATTTACCTGAGCTCCATTGATGCGTTCAGGGCTCTGAATGTTGCCGTAGACAATGATCAAGTTAATGTTGTAAGTTGTACCGAGTTTCACCTTCCACCAGTTGTTTTTGTTGGTTTGAGTGCTGGTTACAGAGCTGAGAGGAGTAGTGAAATGGTTATTGGTTATCCAAATTCATAGTCAACATTTAATTGTGGTATGTATAACGTTATTGTACAAAGAAAATGAAGACGTTTCTGAAAAATTTAAACAAGTCACTCGATTGATATGATATTCACTCTAGAATATGATAGTATCTATAAACTTACTGCCTATTGTTATTTCCGTCAGTGTTACCGTCTACAGCCCTTGAAGCACGACGACCCCACCCTGTAGTGGACTGAGAGGTCTGCATTCTGTTTGAGAGCAGTCTGAAGTTACCTGCTCCAAATCTGGGCGCGGGACCTCCTGCAGTAGTCATCATGTTAATTGTTAATTAATTACAATATTTAATTACAATATTTAATCGCATAATTTTATTAGCTGTGTCAATACTGGAGAGAGTTTTACGAGAACTGACCTCCAATGTAGCACTGTTTGACTCCTGTCATGAGACCATTGCTGTAGCTGGCTTCTCGGTGACCTGTGTGCTTTATGTAGCATCTTCCATTGTTCTTGTTCATGGTGAATGCCACACAGTTCTTGTTGGCCATACACGCTTTTTTGCATTCGTCAATGTCTTTGTTCTTGGTGACAAATGAACGAAGGTCGCCTCCATTGAAATCGACATTGTCTCGGATACAACCTGTGAGAAAACGTCATTAAAAGTTTAAAGGCTGAAAATTATTCATTTTTTCAGCTAATTTCAGCACAATCCTGACACGGTTAACTCTGGAGACGTTGTCAGACGAAGTTATTTATAAAACTGATTAAGATTAAAGATGTCTTTCAAACGCACCTCTTGAGAAGGAGGTCCAAGTTCCAGAGGGTCCGTGGAAGTTGACGGTGTTGACCTTTTCGTAGGGTATTCTGTAAGGGAACTTGTATTCTCCTCTTATTGTTTCGCCAGGCCCAGGAATCTGCGGAACATATAACTTTACTAAAATGAATAGTGTTTAGTTTTTCAACATTGTTGCATCATTGTAATCATTCAAAGATGTGATTTCTGTTGAATTAAAGGTTGAGACGATGTTTTACCTGAATCTCATATCCGCTCTTGGCGACGTATACCACCACTACAAGTGTCTGCCCGACATAAATCTCAGGCCAGGGGAACCTCTTCTCAACTCCCCATTTACCGCTTATCTGAGCGTTTATAACTATGATTTTCTGTGCTGGTCGTCCATTAAAGTGTAGTACGATGTTTTTACCCTGAAAAGATAAGGTGGTTAGTTTAAGATTGCACTAAGCTTCAGAAGCGTTTAATGATAAAACATAGTAGGATGTTAACATAGTAGGATGTTAAGCTTGTTAAAAGTATTACAGCAAAGTGGACCGATAGTGTAGATATCTTACAGTGTTGTCCCAGAAGTTGATAGCCCACTGTTTGGTGTTGCTAGTGTGCGTTCCACGGATGATGATCCGGTCTCCCAGTTTCAGTTCTTCTCCAGGTAGAGTGTATATCTGGTTCAGTTTTACTGAACTCTGCTTTAAGACTGTGGGACGTGGGTATGGTATTAGTATGACAATTTAATTTAATTTAATTTAATTTAATTTAATTTAATTTAATTTAATTTAATTTAATTTAATTTAATTTAATTTAATTTAATTTAATTTAATTTAATTTAATTTAATTTAATTTAATTTAATTTTAGGATGGCCTGTTCGAGTGATTTCGGCAGATGCTCTGGCGGCAACGTACAGAGTAGATTATCTACATCAGAACGCAAAAGAAGAAGCACAGCACTAATCTTCACTCTAGCTACTTTTAATGTCCTGGGTATTACTTCTCCAGTTAAACGGGATGAACTTTTGAGAGATTGCTATTATCGTAAAATAGACATTCTCGCTGTGCAAGAAACAAAATGTCGTCACTTTGAGGATTCAGTTTTGTATTTTACAGATGATGATGGGAAATCACACAAATATCGCTTCATAAACTTTCAGCAATTTGACAATAAGTGGCAAGCAGGTATTGGTTTCCTTGTAAATTCAGTCTATACCAACTACATCAAGTGTTACAACAGTATCAGTGACAGGGTTGCTTATCTAGATCTTGAGATACCAAGTAAATCAGGTAAACCAAGACTTTGCCGTGTTATCAATGCCTATGGACACACTCAAGTAAATTGTGATAAGTATCCGCAGAGACGTGATTATTTCTACAAGTTTCTTGGCAAAGCTGTTGATATCCCATCAAGTTGGGACTTATATATTCTTGGAGATTTCAACTCTCGACTCGGTAAATTGTCTCATTCAGATATTGTTTTCGGGTATAATGACTTTATGGGTATGTTTGGGTCTGGAAAGAGGAATTCAAATGGAGAGCATCTTCTTAATTTTCTTGTTGATAAAAAACTTTTTGCTTGCAACACTAGCTTCCAGCACCCTGTCCGTCATATAACAACAAGAATTGGTTTTATGAAAGACTACTCAGCTCCTAAAAACTCACATCGCACTTTGCCCTACTACTCTCAAATTGACTATGTCCTATGTAGCAGTCGATGATCTTAAAATTTATTCCGCTTTTAGTTTTATTCCCACTCTCGATTCCTTGCTAGCAGTCCGGTTAATTTAGTACCTTTAGTGGGTCTCATTTAATCATTAGCTCTAATTAAAGAACCTCTCACCCTCTCAGAAAACTCCGTTTGGAGATATTCCTTATTACGCTCTAAGTTATCAATTTTCCTTGTGTTTGAATCCTTTCACTTTTTAACTGTTTTTAGTCTTTGTTATTTTCGGCCGATTTCTGCACTTTTACACTGGGTCATCATTCATAATTTCTGGGATTGAGACGACTTATATGAGCATTTAAGGAAGAGTTTGCTTGTCTGACTTACTTCATTAGACACTTCTGGTCAAGAACTGAACAAGAACCACATTCGAAGACTGGAACATCTGAATGACTCTGCAACCCAGGAATCAACTACTCAGTTATTATCGCTCAATAATCGGTTTGGTATCGACGTTACATACTTTATTATTATTTTTTTTAAAAGCTGATTTTAGAAACCAGGGAATTAAAGTTACTGTCCCAAGGCTAACATTAAATCGCTGATTTTATTTATATATATCACTTTTTTTGTTCTTTCTTTTCCTTCAAAACATTCCAGTACATTGTGCAGAAAGTTGGAGATGAAGCCGTAGTACGTACATGTAGCATTGCACTGGATTGAACTTGCAGAGTGTGGTTTTTTCCAGTCTGCGCCGTGTGCTTATACAAATATACGCGGCGCAGATAGACTGGAGGAGATTGCACTGTGTAGGCTCTGGTGTAATGTGATATGTATGTACTACGGCTTTACAAATTTTGGAAGCATGTAGGGATATATTTCTGATACCAATCGTATATACTAAAAATACTCTAGCACAATTGTAACTGCAGTTTTACAGAACTCTAAATGCTTAATGAACACTCTTGCAGGTACCACCCGTATTCACACTCAGACCTGAGTTTAGTCATTTTCCAATACGAGATTGGGGACGGGTTCTATAAACAAACAAACAAACAAACATGTAGCAGTCGATTGAAGAAACTTTTAGTGAATTCTCGAAGTTATGGGGGTACTCTTGTTAAATCTGATCACAAAATTGTTATTACACGTTTCAACTTCAGTGACGCTCACCTTGTCTTCCCCAAACAGAAACCTAAAATGCATTTTGATATCACAACCCTTGCCAGTAATCCTGCTGCTAAAATGCATTACAACAACACATTGAATGATATTCTAACAGACAGCCCTGTTAATCCTAACCCTGAGGAAGAAATGAATAGTTTGTTTCACAATGTACATAAAGCTGCTGAGGTTAGTATTGGATACCTTCCTAGGAAACGCCCTAAAAACTTTTGTAATGACCTTGAAATTCGAGAGATGTCTGATGAAAAGAAAGTTCTACAAGCTCTACTCAATCAGAACAACACCTCTGAAGATAGATCAGTTATACGTACCAAAATCAATCGTATTCAAAATGACACTCGTAAGAGAATCAAGCTCCTTCAAGAAGAGCATGCAGACACTCTTGCTGAAGAGATAAACGAAACTGATAGTTCTAGAGCATACTTTGCAGCCACTCGCCAACTAGCAGGTATCAAACGTGCTCCAACCATAAGTGTGCATGATGAAAACTCTAACTTCATAGGTACAGACACTGGAAAAGCTGCTACACTAAAGAACCACTTTGAAGAGAAGTTCACTGCAAAACATACAGTTGAGCCTATTGACACTTTCTTTGATCAACCTAGTCCTCTCGCTGACCCTATTACTGCTATTGAAGTTGAGATAGCTGCTAAAGCTTTGAAGAATGGTAGAGCCACTGGGCCTGATGATATCCCAAGTGAATTGATTAAGTATGCAAACAGAAGTGTATTTCAGAAATATGCAGACTGTATAAATACCGCATTTGAAACAAACACCACCATAACATCTATTGGAAAAGGCAACATTACTCCACTCCAAAAGCCTAAGAAACCACTTGGTCCAGCAGCAAACATCAGACCTCTCACCCTCTCAAACTGCTCCAGAAAATTACTGTCAATGATTACCCTAAAACGTATCCAAGGCAAGCTAGATCAGTACACCGGTCCTACACAAAGTGCTTACAAGAGAGGTAGAAGTTGTGGCGATATAATTTGGTCTCAACGTATGCTAACCTCAGTGGTACTTAGAAAGCATTGGAGCTACCACAGAATGAGTATAGACATGTCAAGTGCCTTTGACACCATCAGCAGAGAAACAGTACTCAATGTTCTTGAAGATGCTGGCTGTACTAGTGATGAAATTAGGATGGTACGGCTCCTACTATCAAACACAGTGTTGAAAGTAAAAGTCAATAATACTGTATCAATTGAGTTCCAAAGCACAACTGGAGCATTTCAAGGAGATGCACTATCAGGTAATCTATTTACTGTTGTTGAAGCCGCTGCACTTATTCACCTCAGATCTTTACTCTCCCAAGTATCATCAACACCTTACCCAGTGAATCATCCAATCCCTAATCCTCCTATCTCAGAAGAATTCATGCCACTCGAAACAGGATACTCTGATGATATTGACTTTAATAACATTGAACTTGCTCCACTCAAAGAAATGCTTCCTATCGCTAAAGATATATTCCAGCAGTGGGACCTTCATATCAATTCTTCCAAGACTGAATTTGTCCATTTTTATTTAGCAGATCCTAAACCCACTGTTAAACGCAAGGTGATTGTTGGAAAAGTGTATAGAGGTGATGAAGAGTGGCGCTCTAACAAAACTTTAGGATCGTTGATGTGCACTGTTAAGGATATCAAGAATCGAATATTCCTTGGTAATGTTGCCTTTAGTAAATTTCAGAAAGTTTGGATGAAGAGCAAGATTTCAGTCCAAAGGAAGATCAAAATCTACGAGGCACAAGTAGTCTCTATTCTACTCTACAACTGCAACTCCTGGGCTGCACCACTAGCTTCGTTGAATGAACTTGATATTGCTCATCGCAAACACCTCCGAAGAATCCTCAACATCAGATGGCCTACTGGGGTTATTTCTAATGAGGCACTCTATGCTCGTTGTTATGTCACTCCCTTGTCTGTGAGAGTCTCTAAGTTTCGATGGAGAATGTTAGGACATATCTTAAGAGGACAGGAAGACTCACCAGCATACACCTCTATGTTATTTGCTATAAATTCTGATATTTTTATGGAAGGGAGACGGGGTAGACCATGTTTAAACTTATTAGATGTTATTAGAAAAGACTTGACTAGTAGAAACCTTGATATTAGACTTAAGAATTTGACTGATTTCGAAGACCTTAGATTTTTAGCTTTAGATAGGGAGGAGTGGAAGAAGTTAGAAGATGGTTGATGTTTTTGTTTTCTTTTTTATGCGTTTTGATATCTATAAGGTGCCTAGGATGCTCTTTTAACGAGATATTTCGTACTTTGAAAGATTTACTACTACTACTTAATTTAATTTAATTTAATTTAATTTAATTTAATTTAATTTAATTTAATTTAATTTAATTTAATTTAATTTAATTTAATTTAATTTAATTTAATTTAATTTAATTTAATTTAATTTAATTTAATTTAATTTAATTTAATTTAATTTAATTTAATTTAATTTAATTTAATATGACAATTTAATTGGGCTCTTTAACATCACACAATATGGTAAAGAAAGACACTTCATCAAAAACACTTAAAATCTAGAACAACATAAAAACTTGAAGTTTAAAAACCAACCTCCAGTTTGTTGAGCCCAGACTCCACCGTTACCACCGAACGGCTGTCCAACACCATAAACCATAACCTCAGCTAGATGAAGTGGCTGCTTGCTCACCACAATCTTCACCACCCTACCGGTCACACCGCCACAGTTAACGGGGTAAACCACTACGTTGGGGATGTAGATAATAGTTCCACACAGATGTGTGTCCAGATACACCTTGGCACGGTTGATACGTTTGCTATAGCTCACACTGTCCCGTCTGTGGTGCACCAGGATAAGATGTACCGGGTATTTCTTACCCAGATCAACCTTCCACCAGTTCATGTCCTTGGTCTGAGTGTGGGTCATGCTTCCTGCTCCCCATCTAGGGTCTGCGTTACCGTCCACGGCACGTTTAGAGACACCCCCGTGAGCCGTGCTGCTCTGTTTTGTCATCTGGTTCAGTGACAGCCAGTTCAGTCCGCTGACGGAAGTTGCTCCTCCTGGAGACAATTTCTGTTATTGTTTTGAAATGTGTGTTGGAATGTTTGGATGGAAAAAGGTAACAAAACATTCAGATATATACAAAGATTCAGATACTGTAACTTTAACTTGTACTTACCAAATACTTGAACTTCTGAGAGCTGGAGATAACCCTTAGCGTTAGTAATCCTAACGTAGGTTCCAGATGTTCCCTCACAAGAGATAGGGTACACAGACTTCTTGTCTCTGTAGAATATTGTTCCGCACAGGTGCCAATGTTTGGGATTACCGTCTCCGACCCAAACCTTGGCTCCGTTAATGTATCTAGTTGTAGCTCCGCCGCCGTCTTGACGGCTGTAAACCAGCACTAAGTTAACGTGACTTTCTTTCTCCAGTTCTACTTCCCACCAGCTGTCCGTGGCTCTTCCTGTGCTGCTTGTTGTTCTGGAAAGTTTGTTTTTAATAAATTATCTCCTTACGGTTTGATTTTTTTTTCTGAAAATATTACTCAGATTTTTTGCTCAGCTGATTCAATGATAAAAATTAGAAACTGAAGTTTTATAGAGAGATAAGCTGACTTACCCTCTGTTCCAGTGACCGTCGACGAAACCGTCAACAGCTCTGGCTGACACTCCACTCCAGCCAGTGTTCGACTGTTTAGTGGGTCGTCTCAATGAGAGTAGCTTCACGTTTCCAGATCCGAGCATAGGACCGAACTGAGTTGGGCCTCCAGTTCCCAGAACCTCGACTTCAGCGATGTTCAGGATCTTAGTGTGGCTTATCTTAACGATCTTTCCTTTGCGTCCCCCACAATTGATAGGGTAGCTCCTCACATCCTTCAACCACTTAACAGTACCACACAGCTGGTCATCCACGTAAACCTTAGCTCCGTTAATACGGTCCACGCAGCAGAGATCCCATCTGTTGTGTATAATGACAGTGTAGACAGGGAACATTCCCTCTAAATCCACCCACCAGTCGTTCTTCTTACCGTCAGTGTGGATGCTGGTACTTCTACTCCACCACCCGTTAGAATTACCGTCCACAGCTCTCTCAGGTTTCCCACCGTGAGCAACGGAAGACATGTAAGCAGGCTTCTGGTAGGATAGTAGACCTATACCCTTGATGCTTCCAGCACCTCCAAACACTTGGACCTCAGCCATGTGAAGGTAGTTGTTGGCCAGGGTGATCTTAACCGTTCTGCCGGTAGCTCCGTTACAGGGGATATAGTAGATGTTTCTGCCGGGAATGTAGAAGACTCGTCCACAGCGGTAGTTGGCTACGAACACTTCAGCTCCGTCTATTCTGTTCTGACAACAGTCCATCCTGTTGTGGATCACGACGAAGTTGATGTTGTAGTTGTCTTCTAGGTCCACCTGCCACCACACGTTTTTGTGTGATTTCGTGTGCTGAACAGAACTGAAATATTGTTTGGGTTAGATCAGCTTTTCGATACATCTAGAGTTTAAATACATAGAATAGTGTATATATCTTTATAAATATTTTCGATTTGCACCTCTTCTGACATAAGATAACAAAAGTAGTAATAGTAAGAGAACGCACTGTTGGTTCCAGTATCCATCGGTGTTGCCATCCACAGCAGCACCAGCCTGCGAGCCCTTATTGTAGTCGTCGATCTGGGTTGCTCCCTTGTTGTAAGAGAGTAGGATCATGTTTCCTCCTCCCATCAGGGGTGTCTTACCGTCTGTGAGGGGAGTTTTACTTTGAGGAATAGAATAATAAACTAAAATAAGGGGTATTTTTAGTAGACAAACTGCTCACAGATTCAGGAGTCTGGTAACGTGATTACAAACATTTCTGCTGCCTACTTGACAAAAAAAAAACAATTGAATTGATGAAAACGAGGAGATAATGTTATATATGGGTTTGTTGTCAAATGTAAAACTGAGATGATGAACAAATAAAGTGATTTTATAGTGTGTACCAGTGATGTAGCAGAACTTGGTTCCAGATATGAGATTGTTGTCGCGGGTAGCGTGTCTGTAACCGCCGTTCTTGAGCCAGCAGTGTCCGTTACTCTTGTGGTAGGTAAATGCAACACAGGCTGGGTGCTTCTTACAGCGGGTAACACACTCATCCAAGTTCTTGTTCTTGGTGCGGAAACTGGTGATGTCGCCTCCACTGAAGTTAACGTTTTGTCGCAGACAACCTGGTAAAAGAGGATGTGTTATTTCAATAGACAAACACTGATCAGGCTTCCTGCTTTTAAACATTTGAATTTCTTGTAGTTCAGATTCTTACAAAAGAAATAAATATCTGACAACATACTTCTAGTGATAGAAGTCCAAGTTCCAGCAGGCCCACCAAAGGCGATCCTCATGACATTCTTGTACTGGATACGATGTGGGAAGATGAGTTTAGGTTCGACCTTGTTGATGGTGAACTTGTAGCCGTTGTAAAGGACTGTGATAACGATAACGAAGCTCTGTCCCTCTTTAAGACCAGGCCAGTCAAGGAACATCTCCTTCTCCCACTTTCCTCCCTGAAGGAGTTCAGTACGATTTTCTTCTGTTTAGGTCGCCCGTTGAAGTGTAGAGCAATCTGAAAGAGTTTAAGTAGTGTCACATTTGGTAATCGTTAATACTTTGATAGTTGATATGTATCGTTGCTTTGTGGTGAAAAGGGTGAAATTGTAATTTACTGTTTGGTAAAATCAAATATTTACTGAATTCTGGGAATGACTAAAACTGAACACAACAAGAAATTGCTAATCATGCTCATTTTTGTGCACTTACGTCTTTTCCAGAGCCCATGAGGTTAAACACCCATTGTTTGCTATCAGTTGTGTGTTTTCCACGGATGATGAACACATTTCCGAGTTTGATTTTGCCTCCAGGTATCTTTTCTACCTTCGCGTTGGTTATTGACGATCTCTTCCAACCTGAAAACATGGCAAGTTTGATTAAAGAACTTGAGAAATTGCTGTTGGATGTGAAAATCATAAAAAGAAACTAGTCGTTTTTTTCTATTTGTATGCCTAGGGTAAAAATGAGAATGATTACACTAATTTAAATACACTATACCTCCAATGTTGGTTGCCCAGACACCACCGTTTCCACCGAATGGATATCCAACTCCGTACACCATAACCTCTGCCAGAGACAAAGTGTTGTGTGCTTGCACCACCTTAACAATTCTTCCCTTCTTACCATCACAGTTAATTGGGTAAGTCATGCGGTATGGAATGTATGAGATACTTCCACAAAGCTGGTTATCAAGATAAACCTTCGCTCCGTTAATTCTATCTGGAACCTCCTTTCTGTTGTGGACCAGGACCAGGTATACTGGGTAGGTAGCTCCAAGATCCACCTGCCACCAGTTGTCTTTGTTGAACTGAGTGTGTGTCACACTGTTGTGACTCCATACTCCTGCTGCGTTACCGTCCACTGCCCTGCTGGCAACGCCGTTAATTTTAGTAGAAGATTGGGTTGCTTTCTGGTGCCAAGAGAGGAGATTCAGGTTGCTGACAGCTTGTTTTCCTCCAAATACTTGTACCTCGGCGAGGGACACGCATCCTTTTTTGTGAGACACTCGCACTGTGCTAGCTAGTACTCCTTGACAGCTGATAGCGTAGCTGTTTACGTTTTTCCTATAGTTGATTGTTCCACACTTCTTCTTCCCGGCCCAAACCTCAGCTCCGTTGATGCGGTCCTGGACTGTATCAACCCTGTTGTACACCACCACAAGATTGATGTGATGCTCGTCTCCAAGGTTTACTTCCCAGTGGTTCTTTTTGTGGTTTGTGTGACTTATCGAGCTGAAGATGGTTGAGATAAATTAACTCGTAATCATTCTTTATTTTGGCGTATACTGTAATGTAGTACTCTAACATGAAAAAAACTTCAGTAGTAAAGCTGTATTTTAGAAAGCTCTTTATCAAAATCTTACTGTTCATTCCAGTAACCGCTTGGGTTTCCATCGTTAGCTCGTGAAGGAACTCCGCCATTAGTAGTAGTTGACTGGGTGGCTGGTCGGTTTTCAGAGAGCAGCATTACATTTCCTGAACCAGACACGAAGATGTCAGGGCCTCCGGTACCAAGCACTTGGACCTCCGCCAGTGCCAAGTAACCGTGACGCTGGATTATCTTCACTTCACTTCCTTGCATTCCCCTACAATTGATGGGGTACACTTGGATTTTAGGCATCCATTTTACTCTGCCACACAGTCTCTTACCTACGTAAACCTGTAAATGGCGGATTACAATTTTGCGGAGGGAACAACGTTTTATAATCGTGTTCATGCAATGGACAAGTGTCATTTAAAACAATATCTCATTATTAAAGCAAGGAGGCTGACTATTCATTTAACAGTTTAACCCACCTCAGCCTTATCAATCCGGTCGCGACAACAAGCGTCAATCCTGTTGTGAATGATGACCATATATACGGGATACACTCCCAGTAGGTCCACCTTCCACCAGTTAACCTTGCCCTTCTGGGTACCAGAAGCGGAGTGAGTTACACTTCCTCGGCCCCACACACCGTCAAAGTTACCGTCCACAGCTCTGGAGGAGTGTCCGCTCCACCCGGTAGAGGACTGGGAGGTTGGTTTGAAGTATGACAGGAGGTTAAGTCCGGAGACCGCGTTGGGACCACCGAACACTTCTACCTCTGCGATCTGGAGGAAGTCTTTCCTCGGTTGGAGAAGCTCCACTACGTTGCCAGTTGCGCCGTTACATGAAATGTAGTAGGCCAAGTGGTATTTGTTGTAGCTAATGGTACCGCATTTAGTTTTTGTCTTTCCGTTGATGACACTAATGACAAGTCCGTTGATTCGTTCAGCGTGCTCAGCTCTGTTGTAAACCACTACCAGATTGATATGGGTCGAAGCCCCGACATCAATCTTCAACCAGTTGTTTGGAACATTTTTTGTGTGCATCACAGATCTGAAAGTGTTTAAAATTAGGTCATGTAGATTGTAGCAGAGCTGTCTGTAAGTTTAGTTTACAGATTAATAATCCATGCCTTTAAACATATTATACTTTGAAACTAAGAAATTTTAATTCCTTACTTGTCGCTCCATCTTCTATTGGGTCGACCGTCAATGGCTCTAGCAGGAAGACCTCCATAAGCTACTGAAGACGATGTAGCCGTAGCTCCGAAGGATAGCAACTGTACGTCACCTCCTCCCATGTAACCTGCACCAGCTTTAGGTCCTCCTGAATAGGCAGATAATTTAGCATTTTCGGTTTTGTAATAACTTCTTCTTAATTTAGTATCAGTGAATATTAACATATACGTTAAACATGAACTATGCCTTCAGTTGTACACTTGAGCTGGACGAACCTGTTCCGAAGACCTGCACTTCAGCCAAAGTGAGGAAGTTGTTGTTCTGAACGACCTTGATAACCCTTCCAGATGTGCCGTCACAGTTGACAGGATACACTTGCCGGTCTGGGTACCAGTGGATCGTTCCACACAGTTTAGTGTCTAGGTATACCTGTCAGGTTTAGGAGGGTTTAGAGACATAATTTTCAAATATCAATCTCGTTTACATGCAACATTTTAAAGTTAGTACTGTCAAGCGTCCACTGCAATGTATAATTAAGGATTATATCTTGCTCTCAGCAACATTACCAATATGGTATTGTGCTCTTAGTTCTCCAGACTAATTAATTAGTCAAGCCAGGTAAAAAGCATGCCCCGCAATTACACAAAGCAGAAAAATGAATTCCAGCGTACCTGAGCACCGTTTATATGTCGTTTGACACCCTTCTTCGGGTCTACTCTATTGTGGACCAGGATCGTGTAAACAGGGTAGCTCTTCTGAAGATCCACCTGCCACCAGTTGTTCTTAGGTCCCTTGCTGCCGTAGCAGCTTCCGTGGGCGGGGGCACCGTCAACATTACCGTCTACAGCTCTCTCAGGTATTTGCTTCTTATTCCTATCTATCCCAACTGAGCTGGCTTTAGTTGGCATGCCCTCGGACAAGATTCCTAATCCGGAGACACTCTTGCTACCACCATACACCTGCACTTCAGCCATGTGAAGCCAGCTGTATCTCTGAACTATCTTCACGTATTTACCTATCTTGCCGTCGCAATGCACTACATAATAGAGCTCCTTTGGGTTGAACCTTATTGTACCACATCTCTGGTTTCCGACATATACCTGGAATCAATTTATGAATGGAGAGTAATGTGAAGTTTATCTATAATATTCAATATTGAAAAGCTGAGGGCCCTATTATGCAAAATACCCTACATTGAGCATTATCAATTGTTATATTGTGTCTAAACTCTAATCTGCATTAGCCATTATATATATCCTGTTACTGATCTATAATACTTCGCAAACACTAAATCCCCTATAATAGCGAATACTAGGCAAGAAATAAGACCGCACCTCAGCGTTGTTGATTCGTTCTGGAGACTCCCTACGGTTGTAGATGACGACCATGTTGACATGATAATCCTTGTAGAGGTTTACTCTCCACCAGTTATCTTTGGGTTTACCACTGTGGGAAACGGACTTGTGTCCCCATTGAGGATCAGTGTTTCCGTCAACAGCTCGCATAGCCAGACCACCGTGGCCCATACTGGACTGAGTGGATTGTTTGTTCTGGGACAGGAGCATTCCGTAGTCGCTGCTTCCTATGTTGGAGCCGATAGGTCCTGGACCCCCGGTACCAAACACTTGTACTTCAGCCAGCATCAGATAGTGCTGAGGTTTTTCAATTCGGACATGTTTTCCTTTAAGGCCCTTGCAGTTGATAGGGAAAATACTCATACCAGGTAGGAAATGTATGGTTCCACAGACTTGTTTCTCGACCTTGATAACGGCCCCATCAATCTTCTGCAGTGCAGTATCCGAGCGGATGTGTACAACTACCAAGTATACTGGATAGACTTCACCTAGATCTACCTCCCACCATTGGTTCTTGTTACCAGCGGTGTGAGTAGTTTTGTACTTGTTCCAGTTTCCGTTTGTGTTACCGTCCACAGCTAAGGAAGATTTTCCTCCACAGCATGTAGTGCTCTGTTTGGTCGGACGTCCGTGTGAGAGTAGCCCAAGTCCAGGCACGCTTCCGGGTCCACCTGGGAGAAGAGGGGTGGTTATTATTGTAATGTCGGGCACATCTGGTTATTGCCAATATCGTACATTCGTTTTTAGAAAGTCGTGCATGTTTGCTTTTCATTTTTTTTTTCAGAAACACCCTAGCTGAATAAATATATCTCACCGAATACTTGCACTTCAGCAAGCTGCAGGAAGTCTTCAGCAAGAGTTACTTTGACCGTGCTGCCCTTGTGACCGTCACAAGAGACCCAGTAGTTGTTCACTTTAGGAACGTAGAATATTTGTCCACACTTATAATTGTCGACGTACACCTGGGAGAAAATGTAAATAGAAAATACCATCCCTGAAATAAATTCTCGAGTGTGCACCTGAAGCTGATATATTTTGACAGCTGCTCTTCAACATATGAAATCCATACTATTCATTGGAAAATAGAAAACTCTAGTGACTTATTCAGCTATTGCTATCCGTGATGTATGTACTAGGACTCGTATGCTTGTCAATAAGGACCACACGATTATATTAATTATAGCTATTCTGAGGAATGTAAAAGGTGGACTCGAATTTAATTTCTGTGACGTTTCCTTAGATGGTAAATTACTCACAGTAGCGCCGTCTATTCTGTCTTGGCAGCAGTCCTCTCTGTTGTAGAGCACCACCATGTTTACTGCATACACTTTGCCTAGATCCACCGACCACCAGTTGTTCTTGTTGTGTTGCGAACAAGATACTGACCTGTTTAGATTTCACATTTATAATTTTGCTTTTCATTAGTTTAGTAAATTACTGCACATTAGTTTGGTAACAACTCTCGTGTTCTTTAAATTTTGACTAGGACTAGTGATTGTGATGGTGATGATATCTTATTCTTACTTGTGTCTGTAGTCACCATCAGTCTTGCCGTCCACTGCACGGCCGGGAACACCTCCCCAGCCAACAGAGTTCTGAGAAGTCTTCTTCTCGTGAGACAACAACATCACGTCTCCTGTTCCGAAGTTGGGCACGGACAGACCTGGGCCTCCAGTACCAAATACTTGGACCTCTGCCAGTGTCAGGAAGTTGTTCTTCTGTACCACCTTCACAATTCGCCCGTTCTTACCACCACAGTTGATGGGATAGACAGCTACTCCTCTGTAGTACGAAACATATCCACACTTGTAGTCATCGAGGTAGACCTCGGCTCCACCAATGCGGTCCTGGCAGCAGTCCCATCTGTTGTGAAGTAGGACCAGGTACACTGGGTAGTGTCCCTCCAGGTCCACCTGCCACCAGTTGTCGTGTCCTTTGCCGTGTTTTGTGTGCATTGATGTTCCGTGTGCGTAGTGGCCGTCGACGTTTCCGTCCACAGCTCGAGATGGGATTCCTCCCCATCCCATAGATGAAGATTTGGTGGGTTTGCGGTAGGATAGAAGTCCTAGTCCACTGATCTCCCCGTCTCCTCCTGAGCAAATTTGTGTAGAAGAATGACATCCAATTTTGTTGTATGATATAACTGCTTTAAAATATAATGATACATCTGCCCCATATTCTTTTATACGACCTTCTTGAGGATGTGGTAAGTTGAACCGAAGTAAACATGTCAAGTCACTTACCGAACACTTGAACCTCAGCAAGTTGGAGGTAGTTGTTTTGAGTGATCTTCACGTGGTCTGACTTGGCTCCGTTACAAGATATGTAGTACACGTAATGACCCGGAACATACCGGACAGAACCACATTCCTTGGACCCAGCAAACACCTTCGCGCCATTGATACGCTCACTGGAAGTGGATTCCTGCCGGTTGTAGATGATAACCAGGTTGATTCTGTACGCCTTTCCGAACTTAACCATCCAGTATTGCACCTTGCCTTTCCTTTCCTTTGGTGAGTGTGTGTGGGACACGGATCTGAAAAGAGGGTTATCAATATTGGAATTATTGTTTCAGAGCCGGCATCTAAATTGTCTAAAAAGGAATTTTATCGCGTTACACACAAGCCACTTCTGCAACTTACCCGCCGCTCCAACGACCGTTAAGGTTTCCGTCAACAGCTTTGGATGACCTCCCTGAGGAGTAGGTGGAGCTCTGCTCGGTAACTGCTTTCTGTGAGAGCAGCTTCACGTCTCCCTTGCCCAGGATCGCTCCTGTCTCTCCTGAAGAATTGTGTTGCTACTTACTACTGATTTGCATACTTTTTATCGTTATCATTCCTTTAGTAATTACTGCACAAAATATTTCAAGGCATCACAAAACACCTGATCGTAAGGATGAAGTACAAAGTATCAAACTAACCCTTGTAACAGCGTTTAAGACCGGAGATATTGTTTGTAGTTTGTGAGATAGGCTTGTGTCCACCGTGTTTAAGGAAGCAATTGCCTGTGTTCTTCTGCAGTGAGAACGCCAAACATGCCTTATCCGCCATACACGCATTCCTACACTCAACAATATTCTTATTCTTGGTCTTGAAGTGCCTGATGTCTCCTCCATAGAAGTCCTTATCCACAAGCAAGCAACCTGTTTGAAAATAACAAAGTTAGTTTTGGAATTGTGCCAGCCTTTGGTCAGTGATTCGCCGCCACCTAATCAAGTAGATGAGGTGAATTTGCATCACGCGATACATCACACGTACAAATATGTTTTTGAGTAGTAGGAAACTGTTAAGTAAGCGTTTCTAATTCCGGATTCCCTGATAACTGTTGTCACGAGCCCTTAGAGCAGCACTGATCACATATGACACTTTCTATTCCCTAGAGTCGTGACTCAGTCAGCCAGAACTACTACTGGCACTTCGCCTCACGCTATTTTAAGCTTTCCCTGACAGTTGATTTGACATGATCTTAGAATGACAGCGACATAACGTCCTAGATTTGGAATTTAATTGACTTACTCCTGTAGAATTTAGACCACGTGTTCTTGGGTCCTCCGACAGAGAATCTTGTGATGTCCCTGAATTTCTCCCTGTTGTTTATTCGCTGTGTGTACTGATGATCGTTCAACTGAAATGGAGTTTTGGTGTGAGCTTATCCGTGGTATCGGTTGCTGATATCAAATTAATTTCCAAATCATCATTAACTTGCTATTAGACTAGACTAACAAATTAATTAGTTATTAATTTGCAACGAACAAGTCCGAGTTGATAATGACGTACCTTGAATGTAAATCCGTTGTTCTCAACTCGTACGAGAAGAACAAAGGTATCTCCAGGGAAGATTGATATCAGCCATGGCATTCTCACTTCTCCCGCCCACTTCCAGTCTTTCTTCTGCTTCTTTGCAGAGTTCAACACGATTATCTTGTCTTTGGGCCGGGCATTAAAATGCAGAGCGATCTGGGGAAACGAGAATTAGTAATCTAACCGTCATATACTCTGTAACTCTGGTATTTAATCCACATTCTACAATTTCATCCGCTAGAATGAACTTCTTTACGATGTACGTGATCACTTCGAGATGGCCAGGCCTACTCCCATGCTGTCTATATATAGTGTGGATATCTGCGAATATATATTCTAAATAACTGATGTACGTGATCGTGTTAATCATATTTGTGGTGTTAGGTACAAATCCCAACTCTGAACTCACATCGCCACGTGCAGTGTAGAAGTTGAGGACAAACTGTTTGTTGAGGTCCTGAACGGTACCTTGGAACACGAGGAAGGTTCCCTCAATCAGTGGGCCTCCTGGCAGATCGTAGCTGCTTCCAGATGTCAGCGTTGTCAGACTCATACCCTCTGTGAAAGGTAAGGTAAGTTGCTGTGTCAGTAAACTGTAAACCAATTAAATTGGTCACCAACCTGTTGCAACTTGTTGCAGTATACAGTTTACTGACACACCAAATGAGGCGTAATAAGAAGGGAAGAAGTGAACGCAATAATCTCTGTCAGTTTACCAACAAAAATTGCATCACAGCTCACTGCTTAGTAGTCATTGCTCTTCCAAAATCACTTACTTCCGGTGTTTTGAGTATAGTAAGAGCCGTAGTTAGTAGCTGCAGCTCGCTTTGAGACTCCGCCAGTAGCAAACACCTCAACCTCAGCCAGTGTCAAGTAGTTCCACTTGTTCTCAATCCTGACCACACTACCCGTCTTGCCCTCACAGTTGATTGGGTATTGGTTTATGCTTTGTTTGGCACTGACGGTACCACAGAGCTGCTTCTTGCCTCCGTTAACAACGTAGACTTTAGCACCGTCTAGTCTGTCCCAACAGCAGGCGTCCTGTCTGTTGTGAACTAGAACCATGTAGATTGGATAATCTTTACCCAGTTCTACCTGCCACCAGACGTTTCTGTTGCCGCGAGTGTGGGAGGAGGTTGCTAGACCCCATACCCCTGCAGCGTTACCGTCCACAGCTCTACCTGCTTTACCTCCCCACCCCTCGTTTATCTGAGAAGCTGGTCGTCCGAGGGCTACGTTAGAGAGATCACTCGTGATACCACTGCTTCCTCCTGCACAATAAGGAATGTTAGAAATGTATAGGACCCAGAGAGTTAAAATACTCGAAATATAACAGACATGAGGTTGACAGGTAACAGCTGGTGCTGTTGATGAAATTGGTATTTGGGTATACATCTAGTCAGAACTAGTCAGATTTATTAACTGTAAAGTAGTCACGTGGTCTCTTACCGAAGACTTGCAATTCAGCCAGGGTCAGGAAATCGTTCTCGTGTTTAACCTGCACGTAGTCAGCCTTGGCTCCATTACACGAGATAACGTAGGCGTGACGGTTCTTAATCCAGCGGACAAATCCGCAGAGCTCGGTACCGGCGTAGACCTTGGCTCCGTTAATCCTGGTCTGACAGCAGTTGTCCAGTCGGTTGTAGATCACGACCAGGTTGATATGGTAGGTTCCTCCTAGCTCCACTCTCCACCACTGCTTGCCCTTGTTTAGGGTGGAGGTGGAGGTGCTGAAATCATTAGTGTTACTTCTAGTGTTACTCTAATACTGTTATAGAGGCAGGAGGCAATATTTACTTTACTTCAACTGAAGTCTTGGGATCATTATATATTCATTGATTCTATAACTAACTAGTCCTTATGATTTCTTCGTTATAAAGTACGTGGTACGCTTCCTTTAGAGTCTAAGATTCAGACAATCACGAAAATTAGAGTTATCTATGACTTCTTTAAACTACATTTGGTTTCAAAACAGTCGACTCACCTTGCACCCCATCGGGGGTCAGTATTACCGTCAGTTGCACGCAATGCCTGTCCTCCATAGCCTGTTGTTGACTGGGAAGCATGGTAGGATTGTGATAGCAACTTGAAGTTTCCACTACCCAACGGGTTGTATCCTGGGATATGCATGCTTAAGATCCTTTGTGTGTACGCATGAGGAATACCAATGCTTTATTTTCAACTTAAAAGAACATAATTTCTTGTATTGTTGCGAGTTTTCTTGTTTACACCTTTACACAATTTTTCCCGAACTGTTTCCCATTAATTTGAAAACGGAAAGTTTAGGGCCGATAATAATATGTATTATAAAGATAATTACTCAAACCGCTTAAAATTCTCAAACCGCTTAAATTCTTAAACCGCTTAAATTCTCAAACCGCTTAAAACAACTTAACTCCCGGTTTTATGATTTTCTCATTGCACTGCTGCCGAAGCAGGTGATTATAGTATATTAGTGGTTTGCAGGAGATTCTCTAGAATTGTTAAAGGTTAAATATTTAAATGATCGAAGCTTCCTTATTCGTCGACCGAGACGTCGCTAATATCATTTCATTCGGGATTTACTTGGATTTGCATTGCATTCGGTTGCATTCTTTAAACTGTTATATTAAATCAATTTACTTACTGATATCTAATGAATTCTGTCATTTAAAACGCCCCTAATTTTAGGAAGGTTTCAAAGACTACACCCTGACATGCACGCCACGAACGGGACAAACTCCACTTATCTGAGTGACCTGGAAAGAACAGCCCTAGTGATCTGGTCCATCACAGTGTCCTGTATCTCCGTTACCGGAACCTGATAGTCCTTATCTCCTCCCACAAGTACGGAGCTATAAAACTTGACAAGGTCTCAGTGATACTCATCAGGAACCTCTGTGTAGCCGACTTGAGTTACGTGGTCTACATCCTGCTAACTGTGGGGAACATTGTGCAACAGGAGTACCAATATGGGGACTTCCTCTGTTATTGGTCCTACTGCTTTGCCCTCAGCCTCACTGCTACTGAGATGGGCCTGATCTGCGGACTAAATGTAAGCAAGCTGATCACGCTGCATGACCCGCTCAGAGCAAGGAGCAGGAAGACGAGAACAGGTCGGGTAATAGCGGGGACTGTTTGGTCACTCTCCTTCGGCTGGTCTCTCACGGTTAGGGTCTACAATTACCAGACTCAGGAGATAACTGCTTACTTTAACAATGCTAGTTTCCAGTGTTTTCCTTCCATCCACACTGAGCTAGCTGACACCCTGGTCAAGGTAAGTGGAGTTATCTACAACCTCCTTCCCACCCTCATACTCCTCGTATCTACTGCCTGGCTCTTTTTCTTCGTCAGCAAAACATCTGGGGTTCACAAGCACACTGTCCTGACTCTAGCTCTGGTGTCTGGGGTGTTCCTGATGGCATACGGTCCTTACTCAGCTGCCATCCTCTTCTACCCTACCCACCAGGACAGTGCCCAGTTCATGATATACTTCAGATTCGCTGTCTTCAGTCCTTATCTCAACTACGCTGCTAATCCTATAATTTACTTTCTCACTCTGAGGAGCTATAGAGACTTTGTGAAGATGAAGGTGACAAGGTGGATTCACAGGTCCGAAATAAGACATGTTAAGGTTGGTCCTGCCACAACGAGCACCAGCGGGAATCACAAACAAGAAACATCCTCTCTCTTCCGCTCATAGCAAACTTTTTAATTTCTGCTGCCGTATTTGAATGTAATGAACTTTTATCCATCTTGGTTTTTGTTTTTGTATATATCTTGTTATTGCTTATTGATTTTGTTTTCTCATTTTGCTGTTTTGTACCATCATTGTTCAGATTATATTAAAAGTAAAGTTGTTTTATTTTTCTGCTTACCTTGATAACAAGATTTTAGTCCGGATAGGAGGTTTGCTCCATTGCTGTTGCGGTTGTGACCAGGACGTTTTATCCAGCATCTTCCGTTCTTAGTGTGGTATGTGAACGCAACACAATCAGCATTCTTCATACAAGCAGTCTTACACTCGTTAACAGAGTGGTTCTTTGTAATGAAGGTTTTGAGATCAGCTCCGGCGTAGTTTCTGTTAGCCAACAAACAACCTGGGGATAGTATACTAGGTTAGATGGTTTAGGCAAGATGGTAATATTATTATATCTTATATCTAATTTAGATAGTTTAAATAATTAGCTACCAGTAAGTCCATTAAATTCAATATAGCCTCAATAATAACTCACTCCTGGTCATTTTGGTGAAGGTTCCTTCTGGTCCCTCGAAACTTATGGTACTGATTCTATGGATTTGATTGAGTCTTCCTCCTCTGAAATTGAACCTGATTCTCTGCTCTCTTCCGTTTATCTGGATTAAGAACAATGAGTTGTTTAATCAGTGCTGCTTTGATACAAATTCTAAATCCTGCCTTGATTTGACCTCTACTAACTTCATAATTTGGTGTACCACAAGTTACAAAAAACTGTTAGCATACGAGTCCTTTAACAAACCTTGAAACGGAAGAAGTTCTGTTCAATGGAAACTACGATGACAAAGCTGTCTCCTACAACGAAGGAGCCGGCCCATGGCAAGTAAATTTCCTTGCCCCAATGCACTTTGTCCTTTTTGGGAGTGGCCGAGTTCAGTACTATCTTGTAGTCCTTAGGTCGACCTGCTATGTGTAGCGGCATCTGTTGGTGGAGTTTTGTTAAATATTTATCAATAAACCATGCTCCACACAATATGCTCGCGATAAGACTATAGTTTAAACAATACTGATCAAAGATAGGGTGACAAAGAGCAACTCACCTCCTTGTCGTCCCTGAACCGGAAGTTGATGGACCAAGGTGACGTCATATCTTTGATCACTCCTGTGAAGACCAGGATAGATCCCCGCTCGAGTATACCTCCGGGTATGGGGTACGACTTTCCGACCGAAATCGCAGCGGAGTTCGCACCTGAAAATAGAATGTCCGTTGAGAAAAATGGTTTTCAATACGAACTACTTTGATCAGTAATGAAGATTATGTAAAGAATGTGAAATATGAAACAAAAAAATGCTCCATGAATTTACCATTGCTCTGTCCGGTATAGAAGGCTCCTAGATCACCACCAGCAGCTCTACCGTACACTTGAACTTCCGGGAGGACCAAGTTGTTCTTATTCTGTTCAATCCTCACAGTGCTTCCTTTAGTTCCCTTACAGTTGATCGCGTACACTTTCACATCTCTGTGGTACTTTATGGTCCCACATGAAGTGGATCCCACCTTAACCTCGGCTCCGTGGATCTGCTCTGCGTTTCTGTCCCACCTGTTGTGAACCAGAACCAGGTAGATGGGGTATGTTCCCTGTAGGTAAACCTCCCACCAGTTGTTTGTGTGTGAGTTTCCTTTGCTCGATGCTGGAGATGTTCGTCTGGTGTTTCCGTCAACTTTGCCGTCAACAGCCTTTTGTCCTTCAGTGCGGTAAGCATATCCCTTCATGTTTGTTGGTTTGCCCTCGGAGAGAAGGTCAAGACCCTTGATGGATGTAGACCCACCTGAATTACGAGTGTCATGAATTTGAGATATCTCCACTTTTAAGCACATACGTACATATTATTACATATTATGAAAAAGGAACAACTTCACCATTGGGTGTCACAAATAATAAATTAACAGATAATCAATCCATAATACCCACTCACCGAATACTTGAACTTCAGAGAGAGACAGGTAGTTTCCAGTGGACAGTTTAACAGACACCTCACTAGCCTTGACACCGTTACAAGATACAGAGTAGGTCTGCTTGTTGGCCTCGTAGAAGACCTTTCCACAGATGTGGTTATCTGCCCATACTTCTGCTCCGTTTATACGTTCCTGGCAACAGTCCATCCTGTTGTAGATGAGGACCATGTTGATGTGGTAGGAGTTGCCGAGAGTTACCTTCCAGAACTGTGTTTTCACATTCCTCTGTTGAGATTTACTGAGCGTATGTGATACAGACCTGGAATTGTCGTCAGATTATATTTGGAAATGGTGAGGATGAGGAAGCACTGAGAGACTATTCAAATGGAACGAGTTGTGATTCTAGTTGAAATGTTGTACTTACTTTCCATTGTACCAGCCATCAGTGAGTCCGTCTACAGCTCTGGAGGGATTGCCTCCCCAACCTTCGCTGGATTCCATAGCGGGCTTTCCTTGGGATAGAATCTGTACGTTTCCAGATCCGTAGTAACCCTCCATGGTGACCTTGGCACTAGCGAAGACTTGAACCTCAGCCAATGTCAGGTAATTGTATTTGTGCTCAACACGGACCTTGTTTCCTTTCTTGCCACCACAGCTTATCGGATAGACACCAACTTGTTTTCTGTAGCTGATTCTGCCGCAGAGCTGCTTAGCTCCTACTTCTGATACAACATAAACATAAACACCATCGATCTGTTTTGGGCAGAATCCCTACGGTTGTGAACCAGTATCATGTAGATTGGGTATGTGAGCTCTAAGTCCACTTCCCACCAAACGTTCTTGTTTGTCCTGGTGTGAGAGCAACTGTGTCGATTATAGTTTCCATCTACATTTCCATCTACAGCCCTCTGAGCAACACCGCCCCAACCCATGTTGGTTTGTTTTGCTGGTTTCCCGTAAGAGACCAGGTTTAAGTCCTTGATCTTCGCAGTACCACCTGAGGAAAAATTGTAATAACTGTAAATGAAAGGATCTTATTTTTACATTTGAAGGTTCAACCCTAAAATATCTCCATGTTTCAAACCCAATTGGGGAGCTAAGACTTCTAAGGGATCAGGTGAAAGGTGTACTTACCGTAGACCTGTACTTCTGCTACATTGATGTAATGGTTCACTGTTGTGATCTTCACGAAACTAGCTGATGCACCTTGGCAGGGAATTGTGTAAACATTGCGGTCACGAATGTAGCTGATTTTACCACAGTATTTCTTTCCTGCGTAGACTTTAGCTCCGTTGATTTCTTCTTGAGCAGTGTCCATTCGGTTGTAAACAACCACTAAGTTAATATTAAAGGCACCTCCGAGGTCGACCATCCACCATTGAGGTCCCTTCTTCTGGGTGTGCATTACAGAGCTGGGGAGAAACATATTATTGGCAAGAATATCAAATCAGTCCAAACAAGCAAATATACGATAATTTTCAACCTCAAAGAGCTAGAGGGCATCTTGTTTGTTTCTAGCGGATAAAATTTGAAATCTTACTTTGCTCCGTATTGCCCGTCAGTGTTTCCGTCGGTAGCTCGGCTTGGTTTTCCGTTCCAGCCGACCGAGGACTGAGAAGCCTCGAAGAACTGTGAGAGCAGTTTAACGTTGCCACTTCCAAATGAATGATCGCCTGGAATATTTTAGTGTCAGTCACTGTACGATCTAACGATTTCACAATTCGTAATTTGTGTTGTTACTTTCAGATTTATCCAGCTCAAAGCTTCTCTAAAATGCGACTTTTGCCAATTCTGACCTGTGTAACATGATTTGAATGCTGAGATCAGATTGTGGCCATAAGTGACATCGTTATGTCCGGGTCTCTTAATCCAGCACCTGCCAGTTGACTTCTGATACGTGAACGCAACGCATTCAGCGTGTTTCAAGCAGCGAGCCTTGCAAGTCAAGATGTTCTTCCCGGTCATGAAGTTGGTAATATCCCCTCCTGCCAGGTTCCTGTTCTCCAGCAGACAACCTGAAGGGTAACTTGTTTATGTGGGAGTTATTGTTCTTGGTTAGTTATTATCATTTTATGTTGGTTTTCTTTCTATGGAATTTATGCTATTTAAAATTGAGATCTCTTATCACTGTCTATAGTTGTACTTACTTCTGTACATCATAGAGAATGTATCTGAAGGTCCAGCGTAGCTGATGGCACTGATATCGAAATATCTCTGGTGACGATGGTTGAAATGATACTTGTTTTTCTGTCCGTTAATCTCAAACTCGAACCAGCGATGATCTATGGTCAGCACCAGTGCCCATTGATCGCCCTTGCTGAAGGTGTCCGGCCAGTGGAAAGTCTTTTCATATAGCCATTTGTGTTTTCTCTCCTTGCCATGCATGTATGCTTGAGCTGTGTTCAAAACTATCTTCCCTTCTTTTGGTCTTGGATTGAAATGAAGAGCAATCTGAAAATTGATTACATGAGTTCTTGTTCCCCTAATCAGGAGAAACTGTGAATATAAAACGATCAACTAGGACAATTTTTTTCAATAATGTCTCTTTTTGAGAACTTGGATCATTTTAACCAATTATGATTCTATGATGTGTTTTTAAACGTGTGAGGCTGAATATCCTGACCTGGTCACCGTTTTTGACGAGGAGGTTGATGTACCAACTGGTCTTCTCGTCTTGAATAACACCCTCGAATATCAGAACGGTTCCAGGCTGTATCGGACCTCCCATAATGGGGTAGGTTTGTCCAGATACCACTGGTACTTTGAGTCCCTCTGGAAATGTCATGGTTAATTGCTACGTCAGTAAATTGATAAATAATTTGACCCAGACATTTTGAAATTGCTGGGTTCAATCACAATATATGAATAGAATAGAACTATGACATAGAAATATTGATTCAGCTACTATTTCAACTGTTCTTACTTCCTCTGTTGTTGAGGTAGTATTTTCCGTACGGAACGGTTCGTTTTATTCCGGAAGTGGTCCCGAATACCTGAACCTCGGGTAGGGTCAGGTATTCGTCCGTCTGCTCGATCTTAACAACCTGTCCCTTTCTTCCTCCACAACTGATCGGGAAGACGTTCTGGTCGGGATTCCAGTGTACTGTACCACAGAGCGTGTTGTCCAAGTAGACCTGCATATTTGTATTTCATGAATTATCAATTGATGCGTGATATCGAGTCATATAAAAAGTCGTTAATTCTAAATTTTTACCCAAGTCCAGGTTCATTTATGACATCTTCAGAAAGTTTGAAAAAAGTAGTAAAGTTTTACCTTAGCACCATGGATTCTGGCCCTGCAGCACTTGTCCATCCTGTTATGAATGAGAACCATGTACACGGGGTATTTTCCCTGGAGATCCACCTGCCACCAGTTTGTTCCTTTATTGGTTTTACTGCAGTAGGTTTGGTGATGACTCCACACACCATCGACATTACCATCGACAGCCTTTGCTGGAACACCGGCCCAACCAACAGAGCTTGCTTTTGTTGGCTTATTTTTAGAGATCAATCTCATTCCGGTGACAGCCTTGCTACCTCCGAACACCTGAACTTCGGCCATATGGAGCCAGTTCTTCTTGTTAACAATCCTGACGTTATCAGCAGTCAGACCATTACATTTGATGATGTAGTGAGCTTTATTGGGGTTGTGGAAGATGTAACCGCACAATGATTTTCCTGCGTACACTTCAGCGCCGTCGATTCTTGTTGCAGCTTCCTTACGATTGTAGACGATGACCAAGTTTATCCTGTAATCCTGGTACAGGTTAACTTGCCACCAGTTATCTTTGGGTTTACCACTGTAAGAGACAGAGCCGTGTGACATCATACCATCAGTGTTGCCATCAACAGCCCGCATAGCGAGACCACCGCCAGCGACACTTGATTGGTGGGCGTATTTATTTTGTGACAGCAGTTTGGCGTAGCTTCCGGTTCCGATGTTTCGTCCAAGAGGCCCTGGGCCTCCTGATCCGAACACTTGTACCTCCGCAAGACACAGATAGTTGTTCGGTTGTTCGATTCGAACCTTGCTTCCCTTGTGACCGTTACAGTTGACAGGGTACACATTCATTCCAGGGAGATAGTAGATGGTTCCACAGACATGGTTATCAACCTTGACAACAGCACCATCTATCCTGTCCGCATAGTTGTCCCAGCGGTTGTGAACAGCCACCAGGTAGACGGGGTATGTACCTTGGAGGTCCACTTCCCACCAGGCGTTCTTGTTGGTAGTATGGGTGACGGAGCCGTGACTCCAGTGTCCGTCAGTGTTGCCATCAACAGCTCTGCTGGATTTTCCGCCATGCATGAGAGGAGAGGACTTTGTGGGTCTGCCTCCTGATAGAAGGGATAGTCCAGAGATTCCAGTGCTGCCTCCTGAAGCGATTATAATGTAAGACTCTGAGTCGGGCGACCTTTAAAATAATATCTCAATTTGTTTACTATTTTATGTTATGACATTACTATTTTTAATGTAATGATGATAGAAAATCGTCGTTAGGTCCCAGCACTCACCGTAAACTTGGACCTCTGCGAGATTGAGGTGATGAGTTTTCTGAGTGATCTTAATGGTTGAACCACGAGCGCCTCCGCAAGCAACCATGTAAGAACGTCTTCCTGGAACCAAGTAGATTGTTCCACATTTCTTGGTCCCGACGTAAACCTGTAATATTTGGCGGTTAAGTTCAAACTATATCTCCATGAAATCAACATACATATTTATTTTGAGATTTAATTTGTCAAATATAGTTACGAGTATAAATTTTGGGCTTTGCGTACCTCAGCTCCATTGATGTTGATCTGTCCTTTGATGTTGTCGAATCGGTTGTAGACTATGATCATGTTGATTGCGTATACAGTGCCAAGGTCCAAAGACCACCAATTGTCTTTGGGTGTCTTGGTTTCTGTGCACAAGCTGTGGATGATTCAGTGGTTATCGAAATGCTAAAAAATAAATATCTGAATACTGCTATCTCCAACATTCATATTGTCATAATAAGTTGATAAGTTAAATCGAAACATTATAAAATGGATAATATTTTTACCTGAATGGGGCACGATCCACTTTGCCATCGACAGCAAGATACGCGAAATGTTTCCCATTAGTGGAAGACTGAGTGGCATATTTCTCTTGTGAGAGCAGCTTGACGTTTCCGCTACCGTAGTTGGGAACACTTCCTACATCACCTCCGGTACCGAACACTTGGACCTCCGCCAAAGACAGGAATGCGTTCTTCTGCATAACCTTGATGATTTTACCTGCTTTGCCCCCGCAGTTGACGGGGTAAACGAGCACGCCCTTGTACCACTCGATTGTTCCACATTTGTAGTTATCCAGCCAGACCTCCGCTCCGTTAATCCTCTCCCGGCAGCAGTCCCAGCGATTGTGAATCATCACCAAGTAGACAGAGAACGTGCCTACAAATTTAACAAAAGTTAGAGTAGGAATAATAATAATAATCGGATATGGCAGATTATATCTACATGTTCAATGTTCAACTATAGCTTTTTATTGAAGACTCACCCTCAAGATCCACCTGCCACCAGTTGTCTTTTCCTTTCCCGTGTTTTGTGTGGGTCACAGACTTGTGCCCGTAGTGGCCATCGGTATTTCCATCCACGGCCCTGGATGGGATTCCACCATGGCCCATAGAGGACTGTTTGGTGGGCTTACGGAATGAGAGCAGTCCGAGGCCACCAATCTTGCTGCTTCCTCCTGTGGTAATTATTGAAGATGAGAAAATTGCATTCTGACTAAATATGATCGGAGTAATCTGGATAGTGAAAACAGTTGCTTTATTGAGAGTGATAAGTATTGAGATGCTGTTCTTCAGTGTTAAGATATATTTGACTTACCATACACTTGAACTTCAGCGAGGTTGAGGAAGCCTACTGTTTGCACAACCTTGACAAAGTCAGCTTCAACGCCGCTACAATCCAGGTGGTAGACGTTGTGACCGGGAATGTATCTGATAGTTCCACACTTGTGGGTACCAGCGTACACTTCGACCCCGTCAATTCGGCCAGCGCAGCAAGCGTCTTTACGGTTGTAGACCATCACCAGGTTAATCTTGAATTTCTGCACTAGGTGGACTGTGAAAAATTGTGGCTTGCCCTTTGGCGCCAGTGTGCTCATTACAGAACTGAGGAGAATATGCTGTCAGTGTCAACGGGACTGAAATCTTTTTATTTATTAGAATTTCAGCAACTAGGCAACTAAATCTCCAATGAATCAGCAATAATTAGAACTATGAAGTCTAACCTGCCACCCCAATCTCCTCTGACGTTACCGTCCACAGCTCGCTCGGGTTTGCCTCCCGAGCCTATGGTACTTTGCTCCACTCTAGCGTTCTGAGACAGCAGCTGTACACTTCCTGTACCGATAGTCGAGCCGCTCTTTCCTGGTGTTGATAGTTTAAAGATCAGTGATGTAAAGATTAACAATTTAATCTGAAATGATAAACTTCTGACAAATGTCAATCGAGGGGCAGTCGATAGATAAAAAGTTAAATCTAAACTAACCGTAGAAACAACGTTTGAGTCCTGATATGAGGTTGTTGTCCCTGGAGATAGGTCTGTGGCTGGCTTCTTTAATCCAGCAGTTTCCGTTTCTCTTATCGAAGGTGAAGGCTGTGCATCTCTTCTCTGCCATACAGGCATTTCTGCACTCGACAGGGCTTTTCTTGCTCTTCGATTTGAAGTGTTTGATGTCTCCACCAGATAGGTTTCTGTTCATCAACAAACAACCTGTAAAAATATTATACATTATTACTAACATTTGACATGTCAAGTTTGACTATACCGTTTCGTAACGTAATATGAAGAAGACTTTATGGTTGAACCCCATTCCTTTTACAAGTCAGACAGTTCACAGCTAATGGTATGGTCAGTGCCTTGATGGGCTCCCAACATGGCTCTAAAAAGACCAAAACACTCACTTCTATAGAAGTCTGACCAGGTACCAGCAGGACCGTTTACTTGCATCCTCCTGATTTCACGGAACTTCTCTCGGTGTGGGAATGTCTTCTTGAACTTGTGCTCGTTCAGCTGTACAAGGTTTATGGGTGTTAATGTTTTAATATTTAGTTTAATCCGTTACCATGGTGACAATGCACACAAAAAACCGTGAGTTACCACCCTGGCTGCTTATTCAAATTACGAGTTATAAATTTGTATTTCTACAGTACCTGGAATGTGAATCGGTTGTCCTCGACGATGATGATCAGAGTAAAGTCATCTCCGGATATCAGGGTCTCGGGGAAATGTACACTTATTTCTTTACCCCATTTCCATCCCTTACCAGCCTTCTTGGCTGAATTCAAAACGATCACTTCGCTCTTTGGTCTTGGGTTGAAGTGAAGGGAAATTTGTCCGGCGTTAGTGAATAAATTGACCGACCATCTCTGCTCCTTGTTTATGAGCCGTCCCTTGAAGATAAGAGGAGTTCCTTCTATGATGAGACCTCCAGGAAGCGTGTAGATTGCACCCTGTTTCAGGTTTCCAATGCTCATTCCACCTGAACGATCAAAAGTTAATAATGCTGATGTTTACATTTTCTTGTGAGTGGGAAATTAGATTAATCGTGTAAGCGGCGTGATGTACTATTAATTAGTGGAGACATTTTTTACTGAACTGTTCAACTCAAATAAATAGAGGTACTCACGTCCAGTATTCATGGTGTAGAAGGTACCGTAGTTAGCAGAACTGCGGGCTCCAGCAGCTCGAGTACCGAACACTTGGACCTCAGCCAGAGTTAGGTAGTTATCTTTCTGAACCACCTTGACTACCTGGCCGGTCTTTCCACCGCAGTTTATTGGGTAGACATTCTCGAAAGCATTCCACTGGACGGTGCCACAAAGTTGCTTGTCCAGGTAGACCTGAGCTCCGTTTATCCGGTCCCTACAACAAGCGTCAGCTCTGTTGTGGATCAAGACTAAGTACACTTTGTACTTTCTCTGAAGGTCCACCTGCCACCAGTTGTTTTTGTTTACTTTGCTGTGCTGTGAGGTTCCTGCATTGTATGCTCCGTCAACATTGCCATCAACAGCTCGTTGTGGGACACCGCCCCATCCAACAGAGCTTGATTTGGTGGGTCTTTTCATGGAAAGAAGAGACATTTCTTGCACAGCCTTGCTTCCTCCTGAAGAATTTATCATCATAAATTTAGTTGGTGGTATCTGTATAAATATAACTAATAACAGCCCGGATTATTCATTTACTATGTTTGACAAATTTCTGTGTCATGTCTTAAGATTATACGCACCATAAACTTGGACCTCGGCCACTTGCAGGGGATGTTTCTTGTTGACAACTCTGACTTTTTGTCCCTTTTTGCCGTTGCAAGATACTACGTACACTTTTTTTCCGGCTCGGTACCTGATTGTTCTGCATCTGTACTTTCCGACGAATACCTAGAAGATAGAAAGCGTTACAATTACAAATACAAACAGCGTGAACACTTCATAGTACTGTTCACGAAGACTGATATTCTATTATTGCTTTGCCTTTATTTGTATCCTTTCTCAATACATCATTGAGTTTGTACAGAATATTGTATTGGTAGTAAGATTACCTGTGCTCCGTTTATATAGCTCTCAGCACCCTTTCTGTTGTAGATAACAACCATGTTGATGTTGTACTCCGCGTACAAATCAACCTCCCACCAGTTATCTTTGTTCTTGCCCGTGTAAGCAATAGAGTTGTGTCCCCAGTTACCATCAGTGTTACCATCAACAGCTCTCATCGCACGACCTCCAAATGACATAGTGGAATACTTGTTCTCAGAGAGAAGCATGGCGTAGTCTCCAGAACCAATGTTGCTTCCAACTCCTCCTACTCCTCCGCTTCCGTATACCTGCACTTCTGCGAGTGTCAGGTAGTTCTTGGGCTGCTCAATGCGGACTACTCTACCCTTGGCTCCACCACAGTTGATAGGATAAATGCTTTTTCCCTTCTTGTAGTTGACTGTACCACAGACATGTTTGTCTACCTTGACGATTGCTCCGTTAATTCGGTCATGGCAGCAATCCCGGCGGTTGTTGATGACTATCAAGTGGATGGGGTATGTTCCTTGGAGATCCACCTGCCACCAACTGTTTTTAGGGTGTTGGGTATGAGAAGATGTTCCTTGGTTCCATTGTCCATTAGTGTTACCGTCGACAGCTCTGGAAGGAACTCCTCCCCAGCCGACACTGTCCTGTTTGGTTGGACGTCCTTGTGACAGTAGACTCAGGTCTTTCACGACAGTGGTTCCTCCTGGGAGAAATACAATTTTATAACATGCTCCCAATTTTAAAACCAATTACATTGTATCAGTACGATTTATCCTGCTGATTTGAATTTATTTATAAAGGAATTCAAACCAGCAGGATTTGACATCAAATTGTAGCCATGATATGTCACAGTATATCTTACCGTAGACCTGGACCTCAGCCAGAGCCAAGTAGTTGTGTTCATTTGTTATCTTGACGACACTTCCTTTAGCTCCCTCACATGTGACAGTGTAGTACTTCAGGCGAGGTACGTAAACTATTCGACCACACAGTTTCTTATCTACGTACACCTGGGCGATATTATTGTTATCATAGTATTCGCATGACCGCCGAATGAGCGTGGTACAACTTAACAGCAATAACTTTGAATAAAATAAGATCGTCAGGCGCAATGATGTATACCTTAGCGCCGTTTATTCGCTCGTGGCAGCAGTCTTCTCGGTTGTAGATAACGACCATGTTGACTACGTAGGTTCCTTCAAGGTAGACCTTCCACCAACTGTTCTTTTTGTGTTGAGTATGGGATACTGACCTGTTATCGTAGTTAAGATAAGGTGTGTATCAGTGTTTTCTAGATACTTCTAAGATAATCTATTTAGTTTGGTGAGATTATAGTTTCACTTGTCATGCAAGCAGGTTAAATGTGGCGATATCGAATCAATACATGAAGAGTTCTCATGATAAAAACTGAAAGAGTAGTTCATACCTCTGATTGAAGCGTCCCTCAGTGTTTCCATCAACTGCGAACTTAGCTTGTCCGCTCCATCCCATGCTATCCTCTGCAGCTCTCTTTCCTTGAGACAGCAGCATAAAGTTACCTGTTCCAACATTAGGAACCCTTCCTATCTTGTAGAAGACTAGGAGTGAATCTAACTTGAATGGAGACTTATGGTTATCCAACCTCAGTGTTATACTGGTTATCACGCCAGATTTCAAGAAGTTGCGGAAGCTATTCGCATTGCCACATCTGAAGTTTGCGTTTCGCTTGTTGTTAACCCTGGCCAAGTGTGATGTTTTAAGATCCCATTGGATTAAGTTAGCCATGCTGTTTTCAAGGACCTTCCAGTCGTTGCATACTCCACCAGTTTTTTTCGACCAAAAGTTAAGAGCTGATTTGATGACCTTGGTTCCTTTGTACTCGTAGTAAATTTCAACATATCCTACTCCTTGGTTCTTCTCATCCTTAAAGTCAAAGTAGATCGAGAACTTTCCACCATTGAATGGTTTTATTGGAGTCAGCCTTATGTCGATTGGGTTCCTTATTGGATCAAAGTAGACAGGTTTAGTAGTTCCTGTAACTCTGGACAGATCTGAAGGAAATTTATGTTAAAACAGATGTCCACATACAATGTATTGATAACTTCTCGATTAGGACATCTTTAAAAAACTTAACTTTTGTGAGCAATTGATCTAATAAACTTACCACCGCAAGCTCCGTAAGTCTTTGTGGACCATTTGGATTTGCCCTCACTGTAGTAGACCATATTACCATCATTCTGCACTTCCAGGGAATATCCTTTGTTATTACCACTTGTGTTACTGGTCCACAACACGTTTCCTTTCTTTCCGTAGATAACCATGTTTCCGTCAGACTGTTGAATACATTTTTTACATACAAGTTAAATTCCTCAAAGTACAAAGAGCATCAAATATTTATAATGATGAACTAACTCATGTAATGTGAGCAAATGCTTCCACATTTTTCTAACAGATACAATGTGTTAAATCTAAAATGTATTCATTGTGTGTAAATCAGTGATCACTCTTACCTGAAGTGTAAGACCATCCTTATTGACGTCTTTGCCAGCAGTCTTCGACTCCCAGATAGCAACCTTCAATTTTCCAACATTACAGTACAAGACGAAGTTTCCATCTTTCTGCACGACTGCAGTAACTTTACCGTTAGGAGAAGTTATGCTCTGTGTTGTTTTAACGAAACCAAGAGCTCCCCTGGGCACGGCACATGTGTCCTTACCACACTTTGCAATCATGGCTGGTCCGAATACTTGCACCTCTGCTAGGGTCAGGTAATTTTTGTTCTGGACAACCTTTACTATTCTACCAGATTTACCACCACAGTTTATTGGGTAGACACTCTGACTGGACTGCCAGTGCACTGTTCCACAGAGTTGCTTGTCCAGGTAAACCTGAAAATTTTACAATTATTGGCGGGCGCATTCAGTAGTAAATCGGGGAATGAACCTTGACTGGTCTAGGTATTTCAAATTGAATGCTAATTAATTTATAACAAAATGGCAACAAGGAATGGATTAACCCCTTACCTGAGCACCGTCGATTCGGTTCTGACAGCAATCAATTCTGTTGTGAATGAGAACCATGTAGACCTTATTCTGGCCCTCGAGGTCCACCTGCCACCAGTTGTTTTTAGTGCCTTTGCTGTGAGTTGAGGTTCCTGCACTGTATTTTCCGTCAACATTACCATCAACAGCTCGTTTTGGTACACCACTAAATCCAACAGAGCTGGATTTGGTGGGCCTTCCTTGTGACAAGAGAGACATTCTGTTTATAATCTTCGTTCCGCCTGAAAAGAAGGTTTTAGTTAAACAAGATGCCTAAATTCCTAAATTCAATTAAAAAGTGTTAACTGAATTTCATTATTTTTGGTATATTAGTATTTGAATCGTGAGTGGTTTTAACTTACCGTAAACTTGAACCTCGGCCATATGGAGCCAGTTCTTGTTTTGTACTACTTTAACAGTACTGGCCTCGTGACCATTACAGGATATGACGTAGAAGAATTTCTTGCGATTGTAAGCAATCGTTCCGCACTTGAAATCACCCGCGTACACCTAGAAGTAGAAAACACTGTTATTTATGAACCTTATACAACTCTTGAATGTTTATCTCACGGTTTATAATCAACACTAAAGAAATTTGTTATTCAAATCCCTTGTAACTAAAGTGTGATTGATTAGAAAGTGTCGCTCAGTTTTTAATAAATGTCAACTGTAAAGTTAACCTCTGCTCCGTTAATCCTGTTCTGGCCGGAATCCCTCCTATTGTAGATAACAACCATGTTGATTTTGTAATCATCGAACAGATCAACCATCCACCAGTTGTTCTTTGGAGAACCACTGTGGCTTACGGAGCTATGTCCCCATATGCCATCAGTATTACCATCTACAGCTCTCATAGCATTACCCCCATGGGCTTCACTGGACTGACGAGCGTATTTGTTCTGAGACAGTAGCATGGAGTAGTCACCGACACCAACGTTCCTTCCGACTGGTGCAGCACCTCCAAGACCGAACACTTGCACTTCAGCTAGTGTCAGGTAGTTCTTGGGCTGCTCAATACGGACTATTTTACCCTTAGCACCATTACAGTTGACTGGATAACTATTCATTCCCTTCTTGTAGTGGATTGTACCACAGACATGTTTGTCTAACTTGACAATCGCTCCATCAATCCGGGGTCCGGTCCCTTCCGACCAGCGGTTGTTGATGATGATCAGGTAAACTGCGTGTGTACCTTGAAGATCCACCTGCCACCAACTATTTTTAGGATTGTGGGTATGGGAACATGTGCCTAGATTCCATTGTCCACTAGTGTAACCGTCGACAGCTCGAGCAGCTGCCCCACTCCAGCCGATACTGTCCTGTTTGGTAGGACGTCCTTGTGAGAGTAGACTCAGGGCCTTCATAGCAGCGGAACCACCTGTGAATATATGAGTTAGGTTAGTGTGTCATTTATCAAATTGAATCCTCTATTCTGTCGAGATAACTATTTAAATGTCTGTTCATCTATTTTTCTAACATATTGTCAAATACTAGTCGGGCAGTTGGATTATCTGAATTTAAAGAGAAAATTAACACATTTAGGCATCTCATATGATCTCTTACCGAAAACTTGCACTTTTCATGCAGGCTACATGGATATTGGATTTATCATTTCCTGTTTCATCATTATTGAAATCTAGGATGGTATGATCCTGAATAATTAGCGAATTAAACGTCCTTACCGTAGACTTCGAGCTCAGCAAGTTGAAGATAGTCGTAGTCTTGGACAACCCTGACCACGTTGCCTTTAGCTCCGTTGCAATTGACAGGGTAGACAAGTTTGTTGGGAATCCAGATGATATGACCACACAGGTGTTTTTCAACGTATACCTTGATTTTAAAATGAATTTAGAAGGAATTTTGCTACGTTAACTTATATCATGGTTAGAGATTACTGCATAAAATAATGCATAATATTGTGTTAACAGAACTCAAAAGTAAATAGAACATGAAGTGGAATACTGGAATACCTTAGCACCGTTAATAAAGCTCCTGCAGCATTTGTCCGTTCTGGCGTACACGACCACCATGTTGACAGCATAGGTCCCTTCCAGGTTTACTTGCCACCAGTTGTTTTTAGGTTGTTTTTTGGTACTCGAAGTTGATCTGAAATTTTTAAGATTAGAAACTTTTTAAAATTTTCCTTCGATAAACTTGCCACTTTTATTGAAAAATTACAGTGTACAAAAATGTAGCTATCCTGTGAGTTAATTTCGATGTCTCACCTCAACTGATAACGTCCTTCAGATTTGCCGTCAACGGCATACTGGGCTTCTGCAACCCATTTTGTAGATGATTGAGAAGCCCTCTTTCCTTGAGAAAGCAGCATGAAGTTTCCACTGCCATAATTTGGCATCCTACCAACTCGGTAATACACCCACAACCATTCAAGGTTGAATGGACTGCCAAAGTTGGTATATCTCAGTGATGCTCTCGCTATTTTTCCGGATTTCAGGAAGGCGCGGAAACTGTTTGCATTGCCACATTTGAAGTTGGCATCCTTCTTGTTGTTGACTCTAGCCATGTTATTTTCGTTAAGTTCCCATCTGATTACTTGAGCCATGCTGTTATCAAGCACCTTGTCGTCGTTACAAACTGCACCAGTTCCCTTGGACCAGAACTTCAAGGCAGCATTGGCGACCTTGCCTCCTTTGAATTCGTAGAAGACTTCAACATATCCCAGACCCTTGTTCTTATCATCTAACAAGTTCAAATAGACTGAGAATTTACCTCCACTGAACGCATGGTGAGGGTTTAACCTTATGTAAACTGGATTCCTTATAGGGTCGAAGTAGATAGGTGTGCTTGTCTTGGTTACTCTTGTCAGGCCTGAAAGGAAAATGATGTTTGTTCGGTCAGCTACGATATTAAAATCAGCCCATATATAAGACAGAAAATTTAAAACGGACAATTCGTTATGTCATTGGAAAATGTTCCTTAATTTCCTACCATCGCAAGCGTTCACTGTGTTTGTGGCCCACTTGGCCTTGCCACCGGTGTAGAACACCATGTTGTTATCGTCCTGTACTTTCAGGATGTAACCTCCGGTGTTACCAGGGGTTTGACTGGCCCACAACACGTTTCCTTTTACATCATACAGAACCATGTTACCGTCCGACTAAGGGGTTTGTTTTGTCAACCTTCGTACTAAAAACTGCAAACTTACGAGAACATTGCAGAAATATCAAGTTTATGTGGCAAATTGGAAATTTCGAATCTATCTGCCTATTCGGTGAACAATTATATGATAATTGTGAATGCTTGTAAGTGACCACTATGTCCCCACCTGCAGTTTAAGTCCATCTTTCACAGACTTGCCATCAGTGTTTGATGCCAAAATGGGAACACCTCCTTTGCAATAAAGAACAAAGTTTCCAGTTTTCTCCATGACCGCGTAAGCTTCGCCGTTGGTGGAGGTTATCCTCTTGCCATTTCCAATTAAACCGATTGTTCCTTTGGGAATCTCGCAAGTATTCTTACTGCATTCAGCTATCTTAGCTGGTCCGAACACTTGGACTTCAGCCAGAGTAAGGTAATTGGTTTTCTGAACGATCTTGACGATTCGTCCAGTTTTGCCGCCACAGTCAATAGGATAGACGTTCTGACCAGCGTTCCACTTGATCGTTCCACAAAGGTGGCTGTCCAAGTAAACCTGTAGGGTGTACCAGTTTTAAATATATGGGAGAATCTTTATGACAAGCATCTCTGCTACTTACAAATAATGATCTGTAAGACGATTGATTGTTAAGAGTACGTCATACCTGAGCACCGTTGAGCCTGTTTTGACAACAGTCCACTCTGTTGTGAATGAGGACCATGTAAACCTGGTTCTTCCCCTCAAGATCTACCTGCCACCAGTTGTTTTTGTTTACTTTGCTGTGCTGTGAGGTTCCTGCATTGTATGCTCCGTCAACATTGCCATCAACAGCTCGTTGTGGTACGCCACCGTATCCAACAGAGCTTGCTTTGGTGGGTCTTCCCTGTGACAAGAGAGACATTCGGGGCACTTTCTTGCTACCACCTGAAACATCACAGATAAGATAATTATTAATTAAAGAAAATAGAATAATAGAGGAGAAATGAAGTGATGATAATGTAGAAAGGTCGCTAAATGATTGTCTTGCAGAACTTAATTCAATTTTAACTATTTCTTACCGAATACTTGAACCTCAGCCATGTGGAGCCAGTTGTGCTTTTGGACAATCTTGACATAGTCTGCCGCATGGCCATCACAAGAGACAACATAGTATAACATCTTCTTATTATATTGGATCGTGCCACACTTGTAGTCTCCAGCAAACACCTATAACAGAAATTGGTAATTTGCCGCTCAAAATTATCTAATCCAAATTTAGATGAAGCTTCAAATTACAAACATTTAAAAATCGGACAAATTTTCAGAATGTTCCGTTTGAACCCACCTCTGCACCGTTAATCTTCTCTTGACAACAGTCTCTCCTGTTATACACAATCACCATGTTTATAACATAGTTTTTGTACAGATCAACCTTCCACCAATTATTTTTAGCTGCGCCGCTGTGAGTTACAGAGCCTCGTCCCCATACTCCGTCTGTTCTTCCATCTACAGCTCTCATGGCATTACCACCATGTGCTTCGCTAGACTGCAGCGAGTATTTGTATTGGGACAGAAGCATAGAAGAGTCTCCGCTGCCGATGTTGCTTCCTATGGGCTTTTGGCCTCCGGTTCCAAACACTTGTACTTCGGCAAGTGTCAAGTAGTTTTTAGGCTGCTCTATTCGAACAATTCGTCCTTTAGCTCCAGCGCAGTTTATTGCATATGTGTTACGACCTTTCAGGTACCAAACAGAGCTACATTTGTGTTTATCAACAAATACGGTTGCACCGTGGATTCTGTCTTGACAGCAATCTAGACGGTTATGGATGATTACTACATGAATGGGGTATGTTCCTTGAAGATCCACCTGCCACCAACTGTTTTTAGGATGTTGAGTATGAGAAGATGTCCCGCTGGCCCAGAGTCCATTAGTGTTTCCGTCGACAGCTCTGGAAGGTGCTCCTCCAAATCCGACACTGTCTTGTTTGGTGGGGCGTCCTTGTGAGAGTAGACCAATTCCGGACACTCCAGCGTCTCCACCTGTAACAACAAGATAACCTGTTAAGATAAGAAAAAGTTGTTACATGTGAGTATTCTTCTTGCAGGCTGCATGGATTATTGGCCTGTTTTATTACTATTGAAATATAGGATGGTTTGATCCTGAATATATAAATGAAAAGTCCGTACCGTAGACTTCGACCTCAGCAAGTTGAAGATAGTCGTGATCTTGGACAATCTTCACCTCTTTTCCTTTGTGGCCATTGCAATTCACTGTGTTGAACTTCATGTTGGGAATGTACACGATCCTTCCGCATTGGTAATTGTCAACGAAAACCTGAAGAAATTATTTTATGTCTCAATAGGTACAAATACAATATATGCTAATATTGATAATTCATCTTAATCTTAGAAGCTTGCAGCTACTACTCTACTAATCAAAGCTTGTGATGCTGAAACCCCTTTACCTTGGCGCCATTGATCCTGCTCTGGCAGCAGTCAGCACGGTTGTAAACTATCACCAAGTTAATTGCATAGGTTTTACCAAGCTCCACTTTCCACCAGTTATTCTTATTGGTTTTGGTATGAGACACCGATCTGAAAAGGTATCTAGTGTAAATCTGGAGGAACGAGGGTGGACACAAAATTGACATATTATCATAAAGTGTATCATAAAGAAGTGGAGCAAATCAAACTGTTCATTACTAACTTCTTGTTAAAGCGTCCATCAGTTTTACCATCGACAGCATACTTGGCGAGTCCCCCGGACAGGGTTGACGACTGAGAAGCTTTCTTGCCGTTTGAGAGCAGAATGAAATTTCCTGTCTCTGGGGGTGGCACTGAAAAACAAGACTAGTTAGTTAGAGGATGATTTCGTTGCCAACTGTTTTCAAAAATTATTTTATTTGGATTCATTAAGTATCTGTTATTTTGGCTACCTGGTTCTGCTTTCCGTGGCAATTTTTCTCTTTTTTGGAGGCTGCTATGAATTCTTGGGTTAGGACCTGGAAAATTTTGGTTTAATCTAAACTTAAAACATACAATAGATGTCTCAAAAATCATGCTTTTTAATTATAATCATAACTATGGAAGTTATAATTATAACTATAAAAGACAATAAGTCCAGTGTTTGTAAGGTTGAACTACAATTCAGCTAAATGAAATTGATGGTTTTTTGTTTGAGCAACTCACTATTGACTGGATAATGACAAAGATGGTTATCTCTCCATGTATGGGGATCCGCAGTCTCCAACCACCGGATGCAAGCTTTTCCTGCTTTATGTTCATTATTTCTATTAGCATCGCTGAATACCCAGGTAAACTGGTAAGGAGAGTTTGGTGGAACACAAAGATAGTTATCCCTCCATGTGTGAGGGTCTGCTGGTTCCAATATCTGTGTACATTTCGAGCTGGGAACTTTTCCTGAAAAACATTGAGATGATAAATTGATTCATTTGAAACTTACTTATTTATGGACTCTGTATACTGATGAAAGTGAAAACATAACTTTCAAGTAAATTGTTATGGAAATATGGAAACAATCCTCTATCTCGTACCGTTCATATTGAATCGTATTCCAGGATCGGCCTTGGTGTTCTTCCAGCAGAAGAAATTGTCTTTCCATGTGTGTTTGGCTGGTTCTGCTAGCTCAAGGATCCTGTCACAGTAATATCCTGCCGGCACACCAGCGTTGCTCCATTTGAAATCTTGGGGCCAGGACGGCAGGGGTTTTCTGACTGGAATTACATTTTGTCAGATAACAAGTTCAATTTAAGTAATCATCAGCTGGGTGTGGTAAATTCGAAACAAAATTTAAGATACCTTATCGGACCTTATTTGAACGGACATTAATTGAACGCTGGAGGTCCTAGCGTTCATATTAATGTCCGTTTAAATAGAGTCCATCCAAGTTAAAGTACGTTGAGATTTTTTCCAAAATGATTCCACTGCGAACTCATATTTAGGATATGACAACTTTTTAATTTCCTGACAGCAATATTACGTAATCATGGCCTGACCCCCATCATTGTTATGATATCCGGCCAAGCACCTTCTAAAGTACTTACTATTATAGCCGGATATTCGATCGATTTCTAAATTTGATCACTATCAGAGTGAAATTGAGTGGGATTTGAATTAAAATATTTTCAAATTGTTATTATTCTAGAGGATAAAATGAACATTTTGATTACTTAATCAACAACCAAACCCCCCCCCCCCTCCCCCGTAATCACTAATCAACCGTAAGCATTTGGAAACCCCCCCCCCCCCCCCTCCGGCCTCGGCTGATTACTTTTTATGTGTAGGACCCCTAAGTGAAGTAACTGCACCCACACGCAACCTTTCAATTTTCGGAGTTGAGAGTATAGACATTATAGACACACGACACACATGATCTCAGCTATAATATTATGAGTATTCATGATTTAGTTTGAAGATCAAAATGCTTACCACTGCATGTAGGTATATGACAGTACTCCCATCGAGGCTTAGTTCCCCCAGCATTATAACACCAGGCACCTTTTGAACTGAGGAAAATGACGACACCTGTTATAATGAAGAATTTCTAAAAGGAAAAAGAAATTTCACAGATGATTTATATTCCAAAGCCTCTTCATTGCAGTTTATTATGGAACACTACCGGATATCAGATATTGAAGACTTACCCGTCTGGATTTCTGCAATAGTTTTCTTGCAGTCCTGAATCAGGGTATCTGAAAATGTTTTTGTAATAAGCTATTTTCCTAAAGTAGGTAGTGTTGTGAATTGTAATTAATAATTTGGCTTCTGTCGAAAGCCCTTTTAGAAACATCTCGAAGTTTGGGTGTAAAATGATTTAGGACGCTCGATTAAATATAGTACATGTCTCATCTTCCAAAATCCGAATAATCTGGATAAGAATAAATCTAAATCTGGATTATGCCGTATTGTGGCCGCCTGTGGGTGAGACTAGCTTATACCTGTTGTGCCTTAGAAGCACCAATAAAACTTACTTCTTAGGAGTTCTAGTGTGTTTATTAGGTGATTGAGTGTCCCATCTCTGGCAGACGTGTCCTGATTTTGTGCGGGATACAGTTCCCCTGTAGTCTGATCCTTTCTTATCCGCTTTATCAACACACTCGTCTGGAGCTGGAGTTAATAATGAATAAAAGTAGTTTCTTGATAAACGATGGCTTGATAGTGAGGTAAATTGGGGTTTGCGGTAAATCTGTGTTTGCGGTAAATTGGAGCGCAGTAAATCTGCATTTACGGTAAATTGGAACGCAGTAAATCGGAATCTATAACAAGGCCAGGGCGTGGTAAATCGGACATCTGTGAATCGGAGCGCGTGGAGAATGTCGTATATGATTTACAAAGGCTGTCATGTAAGACCTCTGGAGTCGATGCAAACATTTTCAGACCTCTAGTTCATTGAAGGAGGGTATGGCAGCCTCATGATGATCAAAAAAACATATTTTCCAATATCTGGCATTCTGGCTCATTGTTTATACAAATTGGAAATCATACGATATCAAGTTTAGAAATATTCTACCCTAAACTTAAGTTTTAGTTATATGCAGAAATATTTTAACGTCATTATCATCACTCGATGGACGATGACATATTGTTTGAATGTTGTGATATTTCGAATGTGATACCATAGTTGGTTCTTGCGCACTAAACGTACTTTTAAAACCGAAAGCACTTTACGGACAAAAAATTTTTTAAAGACGCACTTTTTAATCTGTTTCTAACAAATCAGTGCGTGGGCACGGAAAAAGTGGAGAAACTTGTATATATCCACGGTAATCTGCGCAATATCAGTGGTGCAGCTGCACGTGGTAGTTCTCTTTTACACTACCTTAGTAAGATGTAGGAATGAAGAATTTTGTCATTTTTTAACTCGTAAACCTCGTAATGTAAAGGCAGACGCACGTAATGCACTTTACCGCACTTAAACGCACGAAAAAATTTTCACGAACTAAACGCACTTTTCCTGGAAAATTAACGCACGAACCAACTATGATTTTTACACAACTTTCATAATTATAGACACGGATCTACAAATATTTTTACATTTTTTACTGCTTAACGACTGCCTTTCTTGCTTATTGTATGAAAAATTAATTTATAAATTATCTGCTAAAGTTTTAAAAACGCAAAATAAATTTGGATTTTTGGTACTTTTGAATGCCTGCGCCTTCGGGCGTTCATTTTAATGTCCGTTCGTAACTATGTCCGTTTATTTAATGCCCGGTCAAATAAGGTCCGATAAGGTATTTGTTATTTTAGCTCCATCTTGACTTTCGCACAGAAATGGACAATTCAACGTTATCAAACCTGCTTTTCCAGCGTATCCAGGGTTACACAGATAATTATCATTCCACGTGTGTGGATCTGCTGCTTCGTGCCATTTGATACAAGGTTTCCCTTGTTTCTGGAACCCATCCTTCATAGCACCGCTAAAAGCCCAGACAAAGTGGTAAGGGGAGTTTTGTTGCACACAAAGGAAGTTGTCTCTCCAAGTATGTCCGGCTGGTTCTGCTCCCTCGATGATTTGAGTACATCTTTGTCCGGGGATGGCTCCTGTAATAATTTAGATCATTTAAAATATTTGCATTGTGGCAAATTTTTAAATTATTTAGCCCCTGAATTTATTGGTTACGTATGATTGATTGGCACTACGAATGTTAATATAGAACGGGTCTAACCAGCAAAGGACCATCTAAGTCCCGGATCAGCTCTGTCGTTTCTCCAGCACATAAAGTTATCATTCCAGGTATGGGGATCCTTAGGTTCCCATAATTTGACACAGGTGTATCCACGAGGAGGTCCAGCATTAGCCCATTTGAAGTCTTGTGGCCAGCTTGGGAGGTTCACTGAAAACACAAAGTCAGATAATTCTCTTGAGAGCGGACAACTTTTTAATGAAATCATTTAAAAATTAAATATCTTTCAAGTATCTTTCAAACAGATCCTTAAAATTTTAATAAAGTCTATCAAGTTGATCACTTAATAATCTGGTTTGATTTTTAAATCTAATCTTAGATATTAACGGACTTACAGAAATTGTTACAGTTAATATTTCCACTCTTAAGCTGGTTTTTATTACGCTGGTATTTTGCTCCGAAGGGAGTATGTTTCAGCCAGCAGTGCTTGTTTCCTTTGTGGAAGGTGAAAGATCGGCAACCTTGACCCTGAGCCTTGGCACATTCTGTGGCACAATGTTTGTAATCTCGAGCAACGAAGTTTCTGATGTCTGCACCCCAGTAGTCAACATTGTCTTCGGCACATACTGTGAATCTTACTACGGGTACAGTCTTTTTGGGTTTAGAAGGTCCTCGGTAGCTCTGACATCTTCCATGGGGACATGGCTTGTGCTGGTCTCCCGCGCAGCACAAACTGTCTCTCTGAATCACACTGCCGTCGCACTTGGCACCCTGAGGTTTATAGTGCTTCTCCTTGTTCGATTTGCAACAGTGTTGACCGTTGTAGTAGGCGTGAGGATGGGAAGGAGGACATTGAGCTGAAAAATTGTTTGTAAAAATAATGTGCGACAGATTTTCGAAAATTTCGTACAAGCTTGTACGAGCTTGTACAAACCCCCCTCCCCCTCCCCCATTTTGATTACTTAATCAACGACCAAACCCCCCTCCCCCGTAATCACTAATCAACCGTAAGCATTTGGAAACCACCCCCCCCCCCCCCCCCTCCGGCCTCGGCTGATTAGGTAATATGTGAAGGACCCCTAAGTGAAGTAACTGCACCCACACACAACCTTTCAAATTTCGGAGCTGAGAGTATAGACATTATATTTATAGACACACGACACACATGATCTCAGCTATAATATTATGAGTATTCATGATTTAGTTTGAAAATCAAAATGCTTACCACTGCATGTAGGTATATTACAGAACTCCCATCGAGGCTTAGTTCCCCCAGCATTATAACACCAGGCGCCGCCTGATGAACTGAGGAAAATGACGACACATGTTATAATGAAGAATTTCTAAAAGTAAAAAGAAATTTCACAGATCATTTATATTCCAAAGCCCCTTCATTGCAGTTTTATTGTAGATCTACTTAAATCTACAATAAATGTTTGTTCCCCTACCTTGTGCTCGACTTGATAACAATCCTTATGGAACACTACCGGATATCAGATATTGAAGACTTACCCGGATGGATTTCTGCAATAGTTCTTTTGCAGTCCTGAATTAGGGTATCTGAAAATGTTTTTGTAATAAGCTATTTTCCTAAAGTAGGTAGTGTTGTGAATCGTAACTAATAATTTGGCTTCTATCGAGAGCCCTTTTAGAAACATCTCGAAGTTTGGGTGTAAAATGATTGAGGACGCTCGATTAAATATAGTACATGTCTCATCTTCCAAAATCCGAATAATCTGGATAAGAATAAATCTAAATCTGGATTATGCCGTATTGTGGCCGCCTGTGGGTGAGACTAGCTTATACCTGTTGTGCCTTAGAAGCACCAAGGAAACTTACTTCTTAGGAGAGTATTTGTGTTTATTAGGTGAATTAGAGTCCCATCTCTGGCAGACGTGTCCTGATTTTGTGCGGGATACAGTTCCCCTGTAGTCTGATCCTTTCTTATCCGCTTTATGAACACACTCGTCTGGAGATGGAGTTAACCCATTTGTTATACATTTTAGAAACGTTAATAATGAATAAAAGTAGTTTCTTGATAAACGATGGCTTGATAGTGAGGTGAATTGGGGTTTGCGGTAAATCTGCCGTTTGCGGTAAATTGGAGCGCAGTAAATCTGCATTTGCAGGAAATTGGAACGCAGTAAATCGGAATCTGTAAACAAGGCCAGGGCGGGGTAAATCGGACATTTGTGTCAAAACTCAACAAAAAACCTGGATTGAAAAAATATGAGATTTTCCTGAAAGATCAATATTGTATACTTTTGCGAATGAGTATTTGTCAAAAATATGAAGACCAAACAATGTACCTCCGACAGGCTGTTTAGGAGGCAAGGGTTTGACATTAGGTCCTCGGTAGCTCTGACATCTTCCATGGGGACATGGCTTGTGCTGGTCTCCCGCGCAGCACAAACTGTCTCTCTGAATCACACTGCCGTCACACTTGGCACCCTGAGGTTTGTAGTGCTTCTCCTTGTTCGATTTACAACAGTGCTGGCCGTTGTAGTAAACATGGGGATGGGAAGGAGGACATTGTGCTGAAAAATTACTTGTAACAATAATGTGCGACAGATTTTCGAAAATTTCGTACAAACTTGTAAAAACCCTTAAAATCAAAACTCAACTAAAAACATGGATTGAAAAGATATGAGATTTTCCTGAAAGATCAATATTGAATACTTTTGCGAATGATTATTTGTAAAAAATGAAGACCAAACAATGTACCTCCAACAGGCTGTTGAGGAGGCAAGGGTTTGACATTAGGTCCTAAAGGCCGAGGAGGTAAGGGTCCGTCTTAGGTCCGCGGAAGCTCTGACATCTTCCATGGGGACATGGCTTGTGCTGGTCTCCCGCGCAGCACAAACTGTCTCTCTGAATCACACTGCCGTCACACTTGGCACCCTGAGGTTTGTAGTGCTTCTCCTTGTTCGATTTACAACAGTGCTGGCCGTTGTAGTAGGCGTGAGGATGGGAAGGAGGACATTGAGCTGAAAATTACTTGTAACAATAATGTGCGACAGATTTTCGAAAAGTTCGTACAAACTTGTAAAAACCCTTAAAATCAAAACTCAACTAAAAACATGGATTGAAAAAATATGAGATTTTCCTGAAAGATCAATATTAGATACTTTTGCGAATGATTATTTGTAAAAAATATGAAGACCAAACTATGTACCTCCAACAGGCCGGTGAGGAGGTCCTAGAGGTCCTAGAGGTGGATGAGGGGGTAAAGGTCCGTGATGAGGTCCTAGATTTGGATGAGGAGGTAAAGGTCCGTGATGAGGTCCTAGAGGTGGATGAGGGGGTAAGGGTCCGTGATGGGGTCCTAGAGGTGGGTGAGGGGGTAAAGGTCCGTGATGAGGTCCTAGAGGTGGATGAGGGGGTAAGGGTCCGTGATGAGGTCCAAAAGGTGGATGAGGAGGTAAAGGTCCGTGATGAGGTCCTAGAGGTGGATGAGGGGGTAAAGGTCCGTGATGAGGTCCTAGAGGTGGATGAGGGGGTAAGGGTCCGTGATGGGGTCCTAGAGGTGGGTGAGGGGGTAAAGGTCCGTGATGAGGTCCTAGAGGTGGATGAGGGGTAAGGGTCCGTGATGAGGTCCAAAAGGTGGATGAGGAGGTAAAGGTCCGTGATGAGGTCCTAGAGGTGGATGAGGGGGTAAGGGTCCGTGATGAGGTCCTAGAGGTGGATGAGGAGGTAAAGGTCCGTGATGAGGTCCTAGAGGTGGATGAGGGGGTAAAGGTCCGTGATGAGGTCCTAGAGGTGGATGAGGGGGTAAGGGTCCGTGATGAGGTCCAAAAGGTGGATGAGGAGGTAAAGGTCCGTGATGAGGTCCTAGAGGTGGATGAGGGGGTAAGGGTCCGTGATGAGGTCCTAGAGGTGGATGAGGAGGTAAAGGTCCGTGATGAGGTCCTAGAGGTGGATGAGGGGGTAAAGGTCCGTGATGAGGTCCTAGAGGTGGATGAGGAGGTAAAGGTCCGTGATGAGGCCCAAAAGGTGGATGAGGAGGTAAAGGTCCGTGATGAGGTCCTAGAGGTGGATGAGGAGGTAAAGGTCCGTGATGAGGTCCAAAAGGTGGATGAGGAGGTAAAGGTCCGTCATCAGGTCCGTGGAAGCTCTGACAGTTGCCATGGGGACAGGGAATGTGCTGGTCTCCCGCGCAGCACAAACTGTCTCTCTGAATCACACTGCCGTCACACTTGGCACCCTGAGGTTTGTAGTGCTTCTCCTTGTTCGATTTACAACAGTGCTGGCCGTTGTAGTAAACGTGGGGATGGGAAGGAGGACATTGTGCTGAAAAATAACTTGTATTATGATATACAAGGAAAATTGAAACTTAACTGAAAATTGGATTCAAAATTCAAATCTCTTTTGAGATGTTAATTTATTTTCCCTGAAAGATATATAGTCTATACTTTTGCAAATAAAAGAATAAGGTAAGTTACAGAACTCCTGACCAAACGATAATCATAAATTACTTATGGTACGGCACAAGACAACAGTCATGGGAACATTTTCCGACCAAAATTTTGAAATTTGGTGCCTTTTAACCTTAGTGGGTCAATACGTCAAAAAAGCTGACTTGGGTACGCGTACCACCACAATTTCAGTCGGTACGCGCAAATACGGCAAAATACGCGTACCCGTACCCAGTGCAGATACGAGTACGCCAAAATTAAAAAGCAAACGAATTCATTTATCTCAGAGACAAAATAAAAGACAATAGTAAATATTAAAAATGGAATTCAACAATTACACATCCGCAAAGATAACACAGTTCATCAAACATGAACAGTGTCATCAAAAGTAATTATAAAGTCTGTAACAAACCACAGGTCTTACACCCGTTTGTTACAAACTTTATAATTGCGTTTCAAAATTTAAATTTAAATTTGAAAAATTCAAATTCACTTTTGAGTTTTCGGGTGCGGGTGCGGGTGCGGGTACGTACTTACCGCTATCGGGGCCAGAACTCGGTACGCACGTACCCGTACCGCCGTACCGGGTGCGAATACGTATTGACCAACTAAGTTTTTAACCGTGTCAAATTGGCATACCGTTTCCTTTCATCTTGATTGTAATTGTTCTACTTCAAAGTCGTCAAAGTTTGTAACGAGTTGGGAACCTTTAGATTTTTTAAGCCAAATAAGTGCTTCGGTGAGTTCTTTATCCAATCTAGATTTCTCTGCCACTTGATCTTCAATGTGTTCTTTAGCCTTAGAGGACACACACTTATCCACCTTTCTCTTAGTACCTATTCACGCGTGATTTTTTTGGTGTCTCAATGATATTCGTAGAATGAACAGTCGTGCTTGAACTACAACACTACTTGTTGTGGCGATTCAATTTTCAAATTGTTGTTCATCATTTCCTGTTACAATTTATGAAAGTAGTTCCTTTCCGATCTACTCCACTAATTTAGAAAGTTTGAAATGATATTTCAAGCTTGACCCAACCCTTCATGTTTACTCAAACTATAAGGATGTGAATTGTGAGCTATGAATCTAATTTTGCTTGAGCAGGAAATCCAGCTCTTCTCGCTGGCTAATATTGGTCTCGTTATCTATAAACTGACTGTACCTCGTAACTGTGTCACTCGGTGACCACGTGCCCGACTGACTGGTGCCGTACCATAAGATAATATGAAAACCACAAAATATACCTGTTCTTCTTACTGCAACTCTTGTACCCTGGATGCTAAAGTGATATCTTGCGTCGGGATCTGAAGATGATTTTTAGTTCTATATTTATAATCATCTGTATCGAGATGCAATGAAAAATACATAATTTATTCATGCAAAGAAGTCTGGGTTCCTGCACAAACAGATAAACGATACGTACTGTTCATAGGTGCATGACAGAGATAGTTATCGTTCCATGTGTTTGGATCTGCACCCTCTGACCACTGAATGCAAGTTTTTCCTGCTTTTTGTTCCTTATCTCTAAGACCATTGCTGAAGACCCAGCTAAAGTGATAGGGAGAGTTTGGTGGAACACAAAGATAGTTATCTTTCCATGTGTGAGGGTCTGCTGGTTCCAATATCTGTGTACATTTCGAGTTGGGGACTTGTCCTGAAAAACATTGAGATGAGAAACTGAGTTCAGCATTCAAAGGAGATAAAAATTTAAAACTCAATAAGGTTGATTCATTGACCCTGAGTTCCATTTAAAATGAAAACACTACTTTTAAATGTGTTGTGGGGATAATTAAAACCCCAGTCTCCTACCATTCATGTTGAAACGTATTCCAGGATCGGCTTTGTTGTTCTTCCAGCAGAAGAAATTGTCTCTCCATGTGTGTCCGGCGGGTTCTGCTGCTTCAAAGATCCTGTCACAGTAATATCCTCCCGGTACACCAGCGAAACTCCATTTGAAGTCTTGGGGCCAGGACGGCAGGGGTTTCCCGACTGGAATAGCATTTTGTCAGATCACTAGTTCAGTTTAAGTTTTGAAGAGCTAGGTTAGCTAATTTCGAAACTACATTTGGAATATTTCTTATCTTTTTGGAAAAAGGAAAACGCGATCATACCTGCTGTTCCAGTGTATTCGGCGTTACACAGATAGTTATCATTCCACGTGTGTGGATCTGCTCCTTCGTGCCATTGGATACAAGGTTTCCCTTGTTTCTGGAACCCATCCTTCATAGCACCGCTGAAAGCCCATACAAAGTGGTAAGGGGAGTTTTGTTGCACACAAAGGAAGTTGTCTCTCCAAGAATGGTTGGCTGGTTCTGCTCCCTCGCTGATTTGAGTACATCTTTGTCCGGGGATGGCTCCTGTGATCATTCAGATTTTAACAAATATTTGCATTAATTCGTAAATTTATTCAGTCTCTCAATTCATTTTCACTGGTATTCGTTTTAAATGGAAGAAGTCGTAACGCTTACCAGCAAAGGACCATCTAAGTCCGGGATCCGCTCTGTCGCTTCTCCAGCACATGAAATTATCATTCCACGTGTGAGGATCCTTCGGCTCCCATAATTTAACACAGGTGTGTCCGGGAGGAGGGCCATGGTTGGACCATTTAAAGTCCTCCGGCCAGCTTGGAAGGGTTGCTGAAAAGAGGGACTCAGGTAATTCCTACAGATAGAATAGAATGTAACCTAACTACTTGTTTTAAGCTAACAAAAAATTTGTAATATAAATTGAAGAATGATTTTACTTACCGTAATTTTTACAGTTAAGATTGGCACTCTTTAACTCGTTTTTATTACGCGTGTATTTCGCTCCGAAGGGAGTATGTTTCAGCCAGCAGTGCTTGTTTCCTTTATGGAAAGTGAAAGATCTGCAACCTCGAGACTGTGCTCTGTTACATTCTTGTGCACAATGGTTGAAATCCCTGGCACGGAAGTTCTTGATATCAGCACCCCAGTAGTCGACATTATCCTCGACACACACTTGGAATCTCCCTAAAATATTACCCATTACGAACTGAATTTCCTTTCTTTTAATAGGATTAAATGAACAATTCTCAAGCATAAATGAATCGGTGATAAATAATAAAATTTTCTTTTCTCTCAAAAAAAATTTCTTTTCTCAACAAGTCCCCAGCATAAATGAACAAGTCCAATAATCAGTATTTCCCGCAATCAGCCAACGAACGAATTTCAAAAAGTTCCAATTAAATCTTTACAACATTGGCAGAATATTTTCTTTCATCATCAGTACCTAATAAAGATAAGATTAGTACTCCAAGCTCCCAGCATAAATGAACAAGTTCCCATCATAAATGAACAAGTCCCCGGCATAAATGAACAAGTAACC